TCGTTATCTAGTGACTGTATTACATATAGTACTTATGTCACAGCACAAAGACTTTTAGCACCATAAAAGTTATCTAGTGGCTAGATTAGATATAGTACTAATGTCACAGCACAAAGACTTATAGCAACATCAACTTTCTCTAGTGACTGGATTAGGTAAATTGATTCTGGTTTTTTTTTTCACCACGACGTTTCCTTGATTACAAGCGGAGTCCCCGCGCTTGAGAAATTAGTTCGGTCTTGAACCCTCCCCCTCCCACCCCGTCCCCGACCCCACACCCCATCCCCACGAGATCACCCGAGCAAATCTCCAGGCGGGTCCCAGCGCTCCAGGTTTGACGGGGCCATTGAGACGTCTTCATCTCGTCTCCGTGAATTAGCTCCGAAATGAAAAGCTTCCACTCCGCGTCCCACCGAACAGTCGGACGTGTTATTATCACGTGCTTGTCACCCGTTTACTGAGCTTTTTCTTTCCCCGGTTAGATTTCTTCCATTGGATTTTTCGCCTTACATTAGCTCCGATTCCTGATTTTGATTTTTTTGTTATCAGATTAAAACGCTGTTGCCAAAAAGTTTCATTATTAAAAATTGGCGTAATTTATACGAAACAAAAATCGTTAATGTAAATGTTAACGTCTTAGCAGCTCCTAAAAATAAATTTCTGGACGTCTTGAAAGAAATTGTTAAAAATGATGATTTCAATTTAAATACACTTGTTTGGTTCCTCATAATGTGAAATCTCTGTTCATTTTAGTTTTTCTTTAAATTTTTTATAAGAATTCTAATACAAATTTATTTTGATAAACCTGTTTACCTTTTTTATTTGAAGACCACATCAGGCAAACAATCAAGTTCTTGATAAACGTCATTATCACGTGACGTCCAACTTCTTTGTAGTCCAAACTTCCTTCATTATTTATTCATCGCAAGAAGAATCATATTTTTGTCATCTGTCATTTTGTCGATGCTCTCGTCCCGTTGAATACCTCGCTTCTGTTAACATTCAAAGAACGTAGGCCAAAAGCAAGCCTCATGACGAGAAAACAATGGCGGTTTTAACCCGGGACCCAAGTTTTTCTTCTCTAGAGCTAGGTGCATCCCTATTGCCGCAACTGCCACTCGACAAATCCCTCCGCGGCTTGCAAATGGCGGACTTCCAATTTCCGGAGTCGAGGGGACACGGGAGTGAGAGCGCCCGAAATCTTCCAATAATTGAAAGAAAGCTTGGCTATCCCTGTCCCCCGGGGATAATAGAGGACGACCTTTCCCCGGGCCTGCATTGGAAACTGCTTAGAGATGCAGTAACTCTATGACGTACTTCCGGGATATGTTAATTCAATAGAGCGAGAATCACGACATATGTTTTGCTTTGGGCATTTGTCGTCAATAAACTTGTGGCAAATGACATATGTCAGCTCAAACGGAGTTGCTTCCACACGCTAAGCTTTTGTATGTTTAAAAAAATTAGGCAACGTATTGCACAATATCAATTATATTTAACGAAACTACTTTTTGACGATTAAAAAAAATTATTGCCGTCACCCGATAGAGTTCTGGTTACGTTACCTGTCACGATGAAATAAAATATTTATTTTAAACTGTCATTTACTGTAATAATTTCTCCAAGTGTATTCAATGTGGAGTAGCTTAAATAGACGGAAACCGGAAATAATGTAAAACGATTTACGCAAAAGACCTGTCTCTGACTGTTGATAAAATAAATTTGCGATTGCCTTTTGAACGAATGTTTTAATGTCATAATTCAAGTTTTGCACAACGTCATTCTAAATAGGGACAGGATTGTACACAATTGGGGCTGTCTTTAAATGAAACATTTTCAATTCCTGGATCTTTGCTTCAGAGATTTGTTTAGAATCATCGTTTGTTAAACTTATAATGGCCAGGATATTGTCAGGATATTGTCAGGTCAGCTTTGTAACTGGTGCAGGAAGTGCTTTTTTCATCGTCTGCTTTCAGATATTTCTATCAAGTGGAAGTAAGGGTGGGGGGGAATACAGAGTTTAACATAGCCCTAGGGAAACTATTTTCTATAGAGATGTCAAACAAGATCTTTTGAATACTGAGGTTAAAAATCTAGTTGGTTCAGCTTTATCACTGGAGTTAGATATTCCTATCACAAGATCTCACGCACAGAAGATAAACATTTTTTTTATTTTTTTAGATGTGAAAGTTTCCTTTTCAAACCTGACGGTCCATATAGCAAGTCAGGTAGGGTCACTTGTTTCGAGATTATAAAATGACGTCCTGCTATTGGTTTGTTTCTGCTGTCCCTGTAATTTAGCTGATGCTGTCACCATACCTGCAGGAATGACGGTAGTCATAGATATAGCAGGACTAGACCTAGACCTGCCACCATTCATGCAGGAATGGTGGCAGCGCTAGTCTTAGACATAGCAGGACTAGACCTACCCAGGGACACTCTCATTACATCTCTCGGTTGTATGTTACTGCTTACGATCAATTACAGACAATTACACATCTCTGTTACGTGGTAATGAGATTACAGAATGCCGTAATGAGTCGCTTAGTCCTAATTAACGTTTAGCCACGAAAGGACGAAATAGTAGACGGCGACTAATGAAGCAAGAATAGGTCAAGGTCAAGCAAAAACACAATCCAGAGACAAGAATGTTGACAAAGAGCTGGTTGATGACGTCATGTTTTCAGATTAAAATGTAGTTATATCGGCATCATATTTTTAAAAATCTCAATGAAATATTCCTTAAAACAGACCCCTTATATTTCTTAGAACTATTTTTTTAAACAAAAATCAATTATTGTTTTATTAAACTAATTCCAAATGCAAGTATTTTCCAAAGACATAGTTTCGCATATTCAGACGCGTTACAACATGCCAACCTTTTAATTCATACAAAAAAATCTATCTATAAAAGAAACTATTTCCCAAACGAAATGAAATTGATAATTATCACCTGGTAACTACGTTATCAAAAAAATTACATTAATAATTTTCATATTACCATCGTCACTTCAATACATAACCGAACTGCGTATATTTTAATTTATTTCTTTTTTTTTTTACTTGTGAAAGGGCATTTTATTTATATTTCTTTAAAAAGCATTTTAAACGAGGTAAAAACAACCTACTTGAAAAAGAAGCCATTTTAACTACTGTATTCAGCGTTGAAAATTTGTGTTACCAAAATCAAATTTTTATATTATTCACAACCAACCAACGTACAGCAACCATCCAAATAGTGTTAAACAAAGCCAGGGGAAGTATTCAACTCGATTATCTACCCTTAAGAAAGTTGACTCGATAATCTACCTTTGACAGCACGGATCTATTTATGAATAATATTGGCGTTGTTATTTACTTTTTAAAAGAGATGTTTAAAATACTGTTATATTTCAATCGAAAATCCAGGAAATCAAATTGCGTTGAAACTAGCTACAGTTTCTGAACATTTTGAAAGAAATAATAAAGAAAACAACTATAAAATAAATCAGCTGTTTAAGTCAGTAATAAGACGCATGCGAAAACAGCTTTATTCAATGTGATATTGCGGTTAATATAAACACGAGAATACAGCTTAATCTTACGACCAGTGCTAAAATAAACATAGCATATTTGTATATATTAAATACCTTAGGCGGTCAAACACGATCTACCACATTACATCGTCACAACGGGAGATAAGCCATTTGACATTATTTACAGAGTAACGTGCTATTTAACTCCCTTATCACGTACATTTTTAAAATTGAATCTGGAAGTTCTTCAGTTCGAGCTAAAGTTGCAGTATCTATAACTAAAAATAATGTTTGTATGATAGTTGTTAAAGCAACCTCGACTATTATTATAACATTGACCTACTTTTGATACAGAAAATTGTGCCTTACTTACCTTGATCAGTGATATCAAAAGATAAATTTATGTTGTTTTTTTTTTACTATTTAAAAAAACAAACATTTGATGTTGCGTTATCTTTCCGTGAACTTGATTTTTTAAAAACTTTTGATTTTCTGCTGTCATTTAATGGGGTTAGGATTGTGTGTAAGGTTAACAAAGTAGTGCGTTGAAGAGGATTAACAGAAATGTGTGATTAACATGATTAACACAATAGTGTGTTGAAGAAGATTAACAGAAGTGTGTGTAGGATTAACATAATAATGTGAAGGAGAGGGTTAATATACACAACGACAAAGATACGTTTAGTAAGATGGTGTGACGACAAATCACCTCTTTTCAGGTATCGTGAGAGCGTGTTGTATAAGCAGAGGCGTAGCGAGGGTGGGGGGGGGGGGGGGCAGGGGGGACATGTGTCCCCGGGCGCCGACTTTAGGGGGCGCCAAAATGGGTTGGAAAAAGTAATCGAAAGTTTGAGGGGGGGGGGTGGAAATCAAAAGTTTAAGGGTGGGGGGGGGGGTGCAAATCGAAATTTGTCCCCGGGCGCCGGTAAGGGTTGCTACGCCTCTGTGTATAAGTGGTGACTTTAGCGTGTTGTATAAGTGGTGATGTCTCAGTGTGTGACTTCAGCGAGCTGTGGTAATTCCACTTTTATACAAGTAACCACCTTTTCCCGCTGTTCTAGCAGTGACCACAATTTCCCACCTCTGATTTACCCACGCCTGGCTCAACATATGCTAAACGGTATAGCATGTGTACCAATGTTATTAGAAGTTAAACTGTACAAAGTGTTAACTAGCTTTAACAGAAGTTAAACTGTACAAAGTGTTAACTAGCTTTAACAGAAGTTAAACTGTACAAAGTGTTAACTAGCTTTAACAGAAGTTAAACTGTACAAAGTTTTAACTAGCTTTAACAGAAGTTAAACTGTACACAGTGTTAACTAGCTTTAACATAAGTTAAACCGCAAAAAGTGTTAACAAGCTTTAACAGAAGTTAAACCGCAAAAAGTGTGTACTAACGCCCTACTTAAACACCCTACCCCGCATGACTTCTTAGATAACTCTGCTGGGTCCTAACCATTCCGACTTAAAAGGTACTAAACTACTTTCTCCAGATCATATACTTGGGATAAGAGGGCGAAAATGAACTTCAAATACGTGTTTGTTTTGTGCTTTTTACTTCAGCTGAAATACGCAGGTAACAATATTAGTATACATGGGATAGCTGGATATCGTTTTAATATTGACGAAGCGGTTGTAAAGTATATCATAATAATGCAATTTTTCTACATACTATAATCTGTTTGGCTCAAATATACGTACTATGACTTTAAAAATATTTGTTGCTATATTATGATCTACTATACTCATAATTCTTCAGTATATTTGTTTTTCTTTTTTCTCCTTTACAATCATTAATTGCTCTGTTGTCTCCTGTACAATGGTGTATTGTTCTCGCCACAGATTCCAGTCTAACAGTGCAGGCTGAGCCTGGTGCCGTGGAGGTCGGCGTCACTGACTCACTTAATGTCACCTGCGTCTACAGCCACGAGAACTCCACTTTAGACATCGTGACTCTGGTCTCCCTGACCTTGACCCTGTCCAACGATGCAGGTCTGACCTTCAAAGACCTGGCAACCATCTACAACTACCCCGAAAACCTAACCAACCACATCAGCGACGACAATTTTACAACTTCCGGTTTTCTTGACCCGCAGCAGAGGTCAGAGTTCAGCCTGAAGTGGTTGAAACCGTCACTTCACGAGACCGGTCAGTACAAGTGTATCGCCACTGGCCTTGACCGTGTTGGTCGTTACGTAACAATTTCTGCTTTTCTTGACGTCACGGAATCTGATCGAATCAAACAGCTAGAACATCGATTAAACACCTTAGAAACAGTTTTGACGACACTGAACAACACGCTGTCTGAGAGGGTAGCACGGCTTGAGTACATCCAACACACTGTGGGCGACGTTCTCTTTAGCCACTCGTTTGTACACAACAATAAGGCGTACTCACTGACCCGCCAGCTCTACAGGAACATCGACGTGGCCCGGCTAGCCTGTCAGCTGTACGGAGGCTACCTGGTCGAGCTGGACGACGCTGGGGAGTACACTGCCCTGGTCAACTTCCTGTCCACCTTCACTCACATGGACGGTGTCTTCATCTCTGGCACTGACGAGGGCAGCGAGGGAGTGTGGTACCAGTTCCAGAGCGGACAACTCATGCCGTTCCTCGATTGGGGTCCCACGGCGCCCAACGGAGGGGGCGTCCAGAACTGTGTTGTCATGTGGAGGGTGGAGGGCTGGAAGATGTTCGATGACCCGTGTTACAACAACACCGGTAACCTGCATGCAGTCTGCGAGGTGCCACTAGCTGTCCAGCCATAGGAAGCTGATGATGCACTTGTTAGAATCTTTTAGATGTGTAGAATCGTGTACTGATAACACAGCTAGCAATTGTTAGCTTGCTTTAGTGGACAACGTACAGGAAGTAAATGTTGCAGTAGGAAGAAGTTCAGTAATATATTGTATGGAAGTGTACTATTACAAATAAACACTAAACTGTCATGTAACATTAGCACGTGATTTATTGTCAAACTTTTCCAAAATATTTTTCCTCATTACATTTTATTATTCATTCTTTTCTTGCACTGATTTAAAATAATTTTAAAATCTTGACACAAATGTAACTACAAATTAAATGTATTAAAACTTAACTATTGAAAACAAACTAAAAATTGAAAAATATTGAAAATAAACTACATTTTGAAAAACTAAATATAGAAAACAAACTAAATATTGACACTAAATTTTAGACGAACTAATTTTCGGACATAAACTAAAGGTTGGACATAAAAAGCTGAACATATTCTATAAATGGAATACAAAAGTGGAATACAATCAGTCTTATGTTTAAAAATGTTTGCATCTTTATTTTTAAAAATATGAAAAACATGCAAATATGTACAGTAAAATAGTTAAAACCTTGACATTTGATTTGTTCTTTGTCTTTTAATGTTAAAAATTCAAATAAATGAAAAATCATTCACTCAGTTTTAGCGAGGGAAAAAATGTTTTAGTTCAACGTGTATATCAATGTGTGTAAACTTCCATTTCCCCCTCGCGTTGCACATGTTAAAGTTTGTCGACTGCAGTCATGCTGCACCTCACGTTAAAGTTTGTCGACTGCCACCTCACGTTAAAGTTTGTCGACTGCCACCTCACGTTAAAGTTTGTCGACTGCCACCTCACGTTAAAGTTTGTCGACTGCCACCTCACGTTAAAGTTTGTCGACTGCCACCTCACGTTAAAGTTTGTCGACTGCCACCTCACGTTAAAGTTTGTCGACTGCCACCTCACGTTAAAGTTTGTCGACTGCCACCTCACGTTAAAGTTTGTCGACTGCCACCTCACGTTAAAGTTTGTCGACTGCCACCTCACGTTAAAGTTTGTCGACTGCCACCTCACGTTAAAGTTTGTCGACTGCCACCTCACGTTAAAGTTTGTCGACTGCCACCTCACGTTAAAGTTTGTCGACTGCCACCTCACGTTAAAGTTTGTCGACTGCCACCTCACGTTAAAGTTTGTCGACTGCCACCTCACGTTAAAGTTTGTCGACTGCCACCTCACGTTAAAGTTTGTCGACTGCCACCTCACGTTAAAGTTTGTCGACTGTTGTCAGGCTGCACCTCACGTTAAAGTTTGTCGACTGCATGCACCTCACGTTAAAGTTTGTCGACTGCCACCTCACGTTAAAGTTTGTCGACTGTTGTCAGGCTGCACCTCACGTTAAAGTTTGTCGACTGCATGCACCTCACGTTAAAGTTTGTCGACTGCCACCTCACGTTAAAGTTTGTCGACTGCCACCTCACGTTAAAGTTTGTCGACTGCCACCTCACGTTAAAGTTTGTCGACTGCCGTCAGGCTACACCTGAAGAAAATCTGGTCATTGAGCTCGTAGTTTTTGGCCCGGAGCGTGGAGTAGGTCACCATGTCGTGGGTACCTCTACTGGTCACCAGAGCAACCTCAGCCTTAAAGACTGCCTCGGTGCCGGGTTTTGGCTTCTGGCAGCGCTGCGGTTTCAGCTCCCAGAGTTGGGTGAACCGCCCCGACCCCGGGTTGAAGATCTCGCCCTCCCCTGAAACCTGCAGCGGCCAGGAAGTGCCGGAGTCTGCCGTCAACAGCGCGTGTACCTCTAGACATCCTGCAGGAGAGAAGCTGATGCACAGTCTAGCTTTGACTCGGACTGGCTGCGTGTAGAAGTAGCCGGAGCGGTATTCTTTCATTGAGCTGCCGAAGTCTGAAGACTTGGATATGCGGAATTTGATTTTCTCAGCCTGAAGAGTTGGTTGTCCTGCTGGTGTTGAGATGGTAGTCTCGTCGGATGCAGATATTTCCATCTCTGGTATAGTCTTGTCAGCCGCAGATATTCCCGTATCTGGTGTAGCCTTGGAGCTTTTCTTAGTTTTGCGCAACACAGTCAGAACAGGGCGATCATGCTTGGCTGAATTGTCCGCCTCTTCTTTTGATGGTGGTGAATTTTTCTCCTCCGTTCTGGCCACGATGGCAGCGTATGACATACGAGACTGTTCGGTGGGTGTGGTTTCAGCCTGATCTGAAGGAGTTGTATTGATTGCTTCTGATTTCTGTGACATTGCAGTTTTCTTGCCTCGAGATTTCTTTCCTTTTCTTCTTTTTTCTCGCAACGCGGGTTGAACTTTAGCATTAGTAGCACCAGGAATTGTAACAGTTTGATTGCTGACTGGAGTTTTCAAAGGGCAGCCATAGAATCTGTTGACCACAGTTGCCAATGCGCATGAGCTAGCAGCAATGGTATCTCTGGGAAAATTTCCATGTGATATGTTTGGGAGCTGAAGTTTTGGTACTTGGCCGTTAGCTTCAAGTGAAGCGTGTAGCTCGTATATCATGGAGCAACATTCGCTCAGCCTAGAATAGGCACTGGCCACTGGATCATCGGCCCTTGTTTCCTCATCTGGTGCCGAGTTTTCATCAGCTCCGATTTCGTCAGATATCGATTCAACGTCTATAAACTCACATTCTTCTAGATCCATGTTTCCTGTTGCTGTGACAACATCCTCCACTAATGTGTGGGGGTTCATCTGGCCTGGGTCAACATTGTTTACCCCAGTTTCATCAATGCTGGCCTCAGTAGGATCCTTCATTGCACCAGCTGTGGAATCAATTTGGTCTGAGGCAGTCTTGTCAGTGGCAGTGGCAGTCTTGTCAGTGGCAGTGGCAGTCTTGTCAGTGGCGGTGGCAGTCTTGTCAGTGGCAGTGGCAGTCTTGTCAGTGGCAGTGGCAGTCTTGTCAGTGGCAGTGGCAGTCTTGTCAGTGGCAGTCTTGTCAGTGGCAGTGGCAGTCTTGTCAGTGGCATTGGCAGTCTTGTCAGTGGCAGTGGCAGTCTTGTCAGTGGCAGTGGCAGTCTTGTCAGTGGCAGTGGCAGTCTTGTCAGTGGCAGTGGCGGTCTTGTCAGTGGCAGTGACAGTCTTGTCAGTGGCAGTGGTAGTCTTGTCAGTGGCAGTGGCAGTCTTGTCAGTGGCAGTGGCAGTCGTGGCAGTGGCAGTCGTGGCAGTGGCAGTCGTGGCAGTGGCAGTGGCAGTCTTGGCAGTGGCAGTGGCAGTCTTGTCAGCGGCAGTGGCAGTCTTGTCAGCGGCAGTGACAGTCTTGTCAGCGGCAGTGACAGTCTTGTCAGCGGCAGTAGCAGTCTTGTCAGCGGCAGTAGCAGTCTTGTCAGTTGCAGTGGCAGTCGTGGCGGTGTCAGTGGCAGTCGTGGCAGATGCAGTCTTGGCAGTGGCAGTGGCAGTCGTGGCAGTGGCAGTGGCAGTCTTGGCAGTGGCAGTCTTGTCAGTGGCAGTGGCAGTCTTGTCAGTGGCAGTGGCAGTGGCAGTCTTGGCAGTGGCAGTCTTGGCAGTGGCAGTCTTCCAGTCAGTGTCAGTAGCAGTCTTGTTAGTGCTAGTCTTGTCAGTGGCAGTGACAGTTTTATAGTCAGTGGCAATGACAGTTTTATTGTCAGTGGCAGTCTTCTTGACAGTGACCTTGTCAGTGAGAGTGTTCTTGGTAATGTCTATGGCAGTCTTCTTGTCATTGTCAGTAGCAGTCTTGTTAGTGGCAGTCTTGTCAATGCCAAAGTCAATCTTCGTGGCAGTGGCAGTCTTCTTATCAGTGGCAGTGGCAGTCTTCTTGTCAGTGGCAATCTTGTCAGTGGCAATCTTGTCAGTGGCAATCTTGTCAGTGGCAATCTTATCAGTGCCAGTGGCGACCTTCTTATCAGTGCCAGTGGCAACCTTATCAGTGCCATTGGCAACCTTATCAGTGGCAGTGGCAACCTTATCAGTGGCAGTGGCAACCTTATCAGTGGCAGTGGCAACCTTATCAGTGGCAGCGGCAACCTTGTCAGTGTTGGAGCTAATCTTATCACTGTTGTAGGCTACCTTATTTCCACTGGCAGATGCAACCTTTGTGTCATTGTCCGAGGCAACAATACTGCAAGCGATTCTGTCCGTGGTTCGTGAATCTATTCTGTTTTTGTCTGAGGCAACAAGACCGCCAATTCCTGACGCAACTATGTTTGATTCTATGTCAAGATTTGCGGCATCTATATTTTCCAGTGCAACATCATCTATATCATCCATATCCGGTGAATCAATGTTACCGGGGAACAGACCTTTAGTGTCAATGTTGTCTAGTACAGGTGTTTCAGGTCTGTCATGGACAGACGCTGAAGGTGCAGGAGTTTTAATATGGTCACGCTCCGACAAATCCGGTACCGTAACGCCAGTCTTTGAAGCACCAACGATGCCTGCTGCGAACCTAGAGGCCGAAGCTGCCACCCTATCAGCCAAGGAAGTCACGCCACTGCTCAACAGGTCCCTGACGCCGTCCTCGGAATCCATCGCTGTGTCAGTCATTGAGGCTTCGGCCTCCGTGATTGTGGTCAGCACAGATGTGAAGATGGCTACAGCCTCGTTGATAGCCTTCATGACGTCAGCTACTGAATCGTCGACGTCATCAGTTATAATGAATTCTGAATTTTCATTGATGAAATTTCTTAGAGCGTCGGCGATGGGTGGTTTAGTGTCAGCTCCAGAGGGCGCCTCGGGCTCAGCTCCAGAGGGCGCCTCGGGCTCAGCTCCAGAGGGCGCCTCGGGCTCAGCTCCAGAGGGCGCCTCGGGCTCAGCTCCAGAGGGCGCCTCGGGCTCAGCTCCAGAGGGCGCCTCGGGCTCAGCTCCAGAGGGCGCCTCGGGCTCAGCTCCAGAGGGCGCCTCGAGCTCAGCTCCAGAGGGCGCCTCAGGTTCATCCTGAGGACGTGCTTCACATTCATTGACAGAGGGAGCTTCACATTCATTGACAGAGGGAGCTTCACATTCATTGACAGAGGGAGCTTCACATTCATTGACAGAAAGAGCTTCACATTCATGGATAGAGGCAGCTTCACATTCATGGATAGAGGCAGCTTCACATTCATGGATAGAGGCAGCTTCACATTCATGGATAGAGGCAGCTTCACATTCATGGATAGAGTCAGCTTCACATTCATGGATAGAGGCAGCTTCACATTCATGGATAGAGGCAGCTTCACATTCATGGATAGAGGCAGCTTCACATTCATGGATAGAGGGAGCTTCACATTCATGGTTAGAGGGAGCTTCACATTCATGGTTAGAGGGAGCTTCACATTCATAGCTAGAAGTGGTTTCAGATTCATCGTTAGAGATGGCTTCAGATTCATCGTTAGAAGTGGTTTCAGATTCATAGTTAGACGTGGCTTCAGATTCGTCATTAGAAGTGGATTCAGATTCGTCATTAGAAGTGGATTCAGATGCATCATTAGTAGTGGCTTCAGATGCATCAGAAGTGGCTTCAGGTTCATTGTTAGGAGCTTCAAAGTTATCGTAAAAAACTGTTTTAGGTTTATCGATTGACAGGGCTTTAGATTTATGGTTGGAGGATGCTTCAGGGCTATAGACAGAGTTAGCCTTGTATGCGTTACCTTTGCATACCTCAAATTCTTTTCCTGAGGGATTATTTGTTTCATAAGCAGATGTGCCCTCTTCAACATCGCCTACTGGCAATTTAGGACCATCATTCATAGATTCGGCATTAAGCGTATGAGCTTCCTCACTTTGATGTATAGAAGCTGGTACAAAATAATTCAAGAAAGGATCTTTCCTCTGATCAAGTATAGCACCACAACCACCCTGCCCAGAAGAATCTGTCTCTGTGCATGATGAGACAGCCCGACGTGACTCCGTCAAACTGGAATCAAAGTCCCGAGTGTGTGAGGAAGCTGTCTCTGTCGGGTCGTTCCATGTTCTGTGTATGGTCACCTGCTCAGCGACAACCTCAGTAGAGTCTGTCGTTTGGTGATTGTAGACAACCTCTCTACTGTTTGTTGTGGAGCTTTTGACGTGGTAAGTGTTGATGAAGTTGTCGACAAGGCTATTGAGAGCTCGCTCGATGCCCTCGTTGATCACCTGCACCTCTTTGTGGAGGTAGCGGCTCATGCTCTTCAACTGAACGTCCAGACTGTCCTTGAGTTTTTCCATGGTGAGGATGTGCTGGCCGTGAATGTCCTGCACGATGCTGAACATCTGACTCAGTTCCCGGTACATGTCTGCTCTCAGCTCGATCTGCATCTGCACCTTATGCTCGTTTATCCTATTGGTTACTAGATCTTCGATGGAGCTGGCAATGGTTCCCAGGGGCGACTGAAAAAAAATTGAAAATTTACTTGTGGATAAAATTGTTGTAAAATGAAAAGTATAGGCTATTAAATATTAATGTTTATTCTATACTTACATTTTGAGTAGCAGCTTTGACTGTGTTGTGTAAATCTTGAGTTGAACGTTGGTTTCGTTCTACATGGTCGATGGAGGTACTGCTGTATTGGTCAAGAAGATTGCTATTGGGAATAGCATAACGGCTTTCTGTGTCATTGGTGGGGTCCAGTAACCGGTTAGCAGAGTCATTGGAGGGGTTCAGGAACCGGTTAGCGGAGTCATTGGAGGGGTTCAGGAACCGGTTAGCGGAGTCATTGGTGGGGTTCACGAACCGGTTAGCAGACTCGGTGGGGTTCACGAACCGGTTAGCAGAGTCATTGGTGGGGTTCACGAACCGGTTAGCAGAGTCATTGGTGGGGTTCAGGAACCGGTTAGCAGAGTCATTGGTGGGGTTCAGGAACCGGTTAGAAGAGTCATTGGTGGGATTCAGGAACCGGTTAGCAGAGTCAGTGGGGTTCACGTACCGACTTGGTAAGTCATTGGTGGGGTTCAAGAACCGGTTATTAGAGTCATTCAAGACCCGACTTGCAGGCTGTTCATTTGTGGGTTTCGCGAACAGATTTGCAGAGTTATTGTTGGAATTCAAGAAATGTCTTTGTTGCTCATTGGTGGGATTCAGGAACCGATTTGCAGGTCGTTCATTTGTTGCATTCACGTCCCTGTTAGCAGAGTAATTGGTGGGATTCACATACCGGTTTAATGGGTCCTTAGTGGGATTCATAAAATGGCTTGTTGGGTCATTTGTAGGATTCACGTACAGGTTTTTATGATCATTGGTGGGATTCAAGAACCGGCTTGCATGTTGTTCAATTGTGGGTTTTGCGTACAGATTTGCAGGGTCTTTGGTTGGATTCACGAAATGGCTCGCTGGGTCGTTGGTGAGTTTGAAGGACCGGCTCGCCAGATCGTTGGTTGCATTTACGAACAAGCTAGTTGGTTGTTTATTGGTGGGATTCACGTACTTGCTTGTAGGGCCGTTGGTGGGATTCACGAACCTGCTTGCAGTGTGTTCATTGGTGGGATTCACGAACCTGCTTGCAGTGTGTTCATTGGTGGGATTCACGAACCTGCTTGCAGTGTGTTCATTGGTGGGATTCACGAACCTGCTTGCAGTGTGTTCATTGGTGGGATTCACGAACCTGCTTGCAGTGTGTTCATTGGTGGGATTCACGAACCTGCTTGCAGTGTGTTCATTGGTGGTATTCACAAACCGGTTGGCTGAGTCAACGGTAGAATTCCCGTACAGGTTGGTAGTGTCAGCTGTGTGATGCCCGTACCGGCTTGAGGGTTCATAGGTGGGATTCACGTTTTCACTTTGAGTGTCAGCAGTGGGATACTCGTGACGACTAAGAGCATCATCAGTGGGATTCACATAAGAGTCGGTATTATTTGCTGAATTAGTAAACCAACCGGTACTGTCGTAATCCAGGTACTGCCCAAAGTTGTCTTCGGTGGGATTCATGTACAGGCCATCCTGTTCGTTGGTGGTATTCGTGTATAGACCATAGTCGCATGTACTCTGATACTGCTGTATATCCTCATTGGTGGGATTCGTGTACTGGCCCGCAGTGTCATGTGTGGAATTCATGTAGTGGCCGTCATAGTCTTTGGTGGGATTCCAGTACTGTTCAGAGTTGGCCCAATTAGTTGATGGCCTGAAGTCCATGGCTTGCAAACCCTAGTAGATTTGTCTGAAATATTGATAAAAAAACATGGTCAGACGCACCTCCCGACAAAGCATCACAGCAGTCACTTAACTATCCCTGAACTAAGTTGCAATGCTCTTTAATAACAACATAGTCTAGTTACTGTAAGACCCCGAATGGTAGGTGTCTGCAGTGGTCTAGTTACCTGAGACCTTGAATGACAGGTGTCTGCAATGTGGTCTAATTACCTGAGACCTTGAATGAGTTTCTGTACTGTAGTCTAATTAACTGAGACCTTGAATGAGTGTCTGCAGTGGTCTAGTTACCTGAGACCTTGAATGACAGGTGTCTGCACTGTAGTCTAATTACCTGAGACCTTGAATGAGTGTCTGCACTGTGGTCTAATTACCTGAGACCCTGAATGGCAGTTGTTTGCACTCTTGTCTAGCTCTTGTACTCCACGTGAGACCACTAACCAGTAGAGCAATATAAATTAACTCTACGAACCAAACTGGTGACTAGCTGGTAAAGGCATAATGCTCTACCATCCGACCACTCCATGTTAATGAGTTTTGGGGAGAATGTTTACACCAGTGTACGATAATGGAATCTTTAAAAAATGGGTGTTAGGTTACTGGTAGTTAACTAAATACACACACTTGGCTGGCTAATGTCAATGCTAACCCTGTCCCTAATCCTAACCCCAACCCTGGTCCTACCATACGCCTAACCCTAATTTCTAACCATAAAATGAGTCGAGATTACACTACTAACGACCCAACACCCCTTTTTTAAAGAAGATTCCATTATCGGACACCGGTGTCTATAATCATCCGAGTTGTGTACAGTACGATGACAAACCTTGTATTGTTCACGATGTTTCCAGAAATCACATGAACAAATATCGGTTAACTATTGGTTCGCATTGTTTAGTTTTTAATTATGACATGATAATAGTTTCATTTGTAGCCATTTTTTCAGCAGAAGTAGCGTATTTGTTATTGTGAAAATGACAAAGAAAAAAACCTGTACTAACTACAGACTCCAATGTGAAGGTCATTGTAAATAGCTTTACAAAGACTGAAATTTTGCTGATAAAAGAATAGCAACTACATCTATAATACACTTGGATCACAGCTATCTTTAACATATCGGATTCCAAGTGCTCCTAGCAAGTCTAGCTCTATAATCTAACTTTAACATCACTTACCACATTATAATAGCTATATAACCTAACTTTAAAACTACTTACCACATAATAGCACTATAAAAAAGTACACTTCTTGGTTTTAGACCAATTCATTGTACGACAAATCATCCCCACAAATGTATCTAGATTTATGTTTAACAATCTGTTTTCACACATAACTAAAACACTAACATGCTAAATGTCAGCTCATTAAATTAATTGCGCATTATTGATTAGATAAATAAATGCAAAAATTAAAAGTCTTACCTGAGTAAAGTTAAAAATCTGTGCTGTACAGACCGTAGAGGTTAAAAACTGAGATTTGAACGCCGGTCGCTTGGGTGAGACGGCTGGAGAGATTGTGTACACAGCTCGTGGCCAGGTGGTGAACTTCAACTCACTCGACACATGTGTTGTTTTGTTGTTGTGATGGGGACAAACACATACTCGGTCACACACACCACACACCACACACACACTCACACACATATTGACAAAAGTCTTCACCTCTCTTGTTAACCGCACAGGGATAGAATGTGTCAACACAAGGTATGAACAATAGGTTTTAGGCATTGCTGTCTACCTAGTGGTATTGGCCGTCCATGCCGTGTAATGAGGCCGTCTGCGTCGCACTGATGGCCGTCTATACCGTGGTGCTTGACCGTCTATACCATGCAATAGACATCCGTTATTGTGCTACTGACCACCAATAGAATGCCGACCGTACATGCGATTAAATGACCGTCTATGGTGATAACTGGCCGTCTATGTTGTGATGTATATGTCATGGCGCTAGCCGTCTATGTTGTGATGTCAATGTCATGGCAGTGGCAGTGGCCGTCTATGTTTTGACGTTTACGTCATGACGCTGGCCGTCTATGTTGTGACGTTTACGTCATGACGCTGGCCGTCTATGTTGTGACGTTTACGTCATGACGCTGGCCGTCTATGTTGTGATGTTTACGTCATGACGCTGGCCGTCTATGTTTTGACGTTTACGTCATGACGCTGGCCGTCTATGTTGTGACGTTTACGTCATGACGCTGGCCGTCTATGTTGTGATGTTTACGTCATGGCGCTGGCCGTCTATGTCATTGTGCTTGAGCGCCAGTACGAGCTACTGGCCGTCTAGTCAATGTGCTGACCGTCTGTGCCGTGTTTACCGTGCTACCGACCGTCTATAGCATTGACTGTAGCTGTAAGACGGTGACCGTCTATGCTTGTGACGAAGTTAAAGTGAAACAGAACCAACAACCTTCCATCGTGAAGCTTGAACTCTGTTCTCATGTTGTAGCTAATATTGAACACTCTGTCTACCTGACCACACTCCTCTTAGTGAAATATGTGTTTCACAGGCGATTGACCTATACCTCAAACAATTAGTGTTTCTTTCAGACATTTTTCACCGGATGGGGGGGGGGGTTAGACTTGAGTTATTGCCTACGGAGGGGGGAGGGAGGGCACTGGTTTAAGTATATATATAAATTGTATATTTTTTCTGTTTCGTAAGGGGCGGGGCTATCTGAATGCTATGGCCTCTCTCTCTCTCTCTTTCTCTCTCTCACCCGGTGCGGTCCGCGCCACCCCGCCCCCGCCTCACGACGCCTCTGGGTGATATGTTTACAATGTGAACCTACCGGTCAAAATGTCAACTGTTTGCTATGTATTTCAGCTTAGAAGGTGTAATGTCATTGGATATTGTCGTTTATCCATGTCATCTCGACATTTACACTACGTCATTTTGGACATTTTTACTTCGTAATCGTGACATTTACACCCGTCATTTATGTATTACAAATTATTCTTGTATACGATTCCTTGCGATGGGTGAATTAACCACACCCCTGCTGTTGTATACAGCCCATACTGTTTTAAAGGGTACTTCGGCTAGATGTCATTAATATCTATGTCACTAATGTACTTAACTCGGCCATACGCTTGGGGTATAGGTATTATTCTTCCAAACCAAGTTCTCTAATTTTCTCAATAAAGCGTAATTTACACTGAATGAAGTGCTGCATTAAAATGTTTTACTGCTTTACCACTTGTGAGTAAAGTGTGGTGTGATGGCGAATCTGTTGATGACTCTAAATGACACTACCAGCATCATTGAAACATACTCCACTTGAGCTGAGAGCACCACTAGTGTAGAGAGGGTGGTGGGCCCACACCACACTGTCGCCATCACCCATCAACCGTTATGGCAGGAGTCAGCAGGCCCATAGGCTGGCGACGTGTTGTTACTGATTGTCATCTTGATGGAGTAGGTTCGGATCCCCGTGCTTACAACCTACTTAGTTTTGTAACAAAAGTCGCCACAGAAACATCCAGATAAACATGTACTTATGTCTGTGATACATTTATCTATATATATAATTCTCTTCTTCGAGCCGTTAGAAAACAAGCTGCAAACGCTCTCCCTACCTCCCCACCCCTACATGGTTTTAGTGAGCTGTGTTCACTCTAAATGTTTACAAGCAGAGCCAACGATTTTAAACGTAAGGGGGGGGGGAGGAAGGGGGGGTTATGGTCCTTAACGAGCTACTTATAGTGTTTTAAAGAAATATTTTCAGTGTCAGCGTTGGTACTGTCGAATTCACAAATTATGAATTATTGAAAATTAGAAACAACTAAATAGCGGCGTATGTTATGCCGCGGGCCGGCTCGTTTCTCTATAAATTACGTGTGAAATAGATGAGTTTAATGCATTCAGCCATTAATGAAAAGATGTATACAATATGGACAAGACAGGGTTATCTAAATATTTTAGCACATATCGCTGTTATCCTCACTCATTGACAAAATATGTCTCAATATTCCCAGACACACTTAATGACAATACAAGTTACCAAAAAATGTCTCAATATTCCTTAACCATTGTGTCTTGACAGAGCTACATGTAGCCTACATTGTCTGGTCAGTGATGCGTGTCTGAAGCCCACACCAGGTCATGCCCGATAGCCCTGAAGTCTGCGGGTGGTCAGGTGGGTGACCTCTCACTGTTCTGCTCACATGAGCTCAGCTAACACAATGAGACTAGCCCTATGTTCATGTGGGTCTCTTGATTTACAGTGTACCTTCTTCATAGCCCCTAGTAGAACTCAAGGTTCTTATACCCGACTCCAGACCAATAAATGCAAACTGATTGTTAACATTTGACATAACAAAAAATGACCAATTAAGTTATACACAATCCAAAACTCTACATTACGTGTGCTTATTTTTGGACATGTAACAGTCTATCACCCTATTATCGAGCCCGTTTTTTGTATGTGTTTGTAAAATATCCAGGCGGGCTTTGTGTTTTTATCTGTACTCCTAAATTTTTAACGACGCGTGAATAATTGTGATTTTACTATCAGTTTGCTAGTATTCATGACTGTATGTTTTAAACACCATTCGCTAGTTAGTATTTATATCTCTATGTTAATCGAATTTATATTTTAAACGCGTGCCCATAAAAATACGAGATTAAAAGTTAAAAAAAAACCCACTGATATTAAAAGTGATTTTTTTTTAAAATTTAAGATTCCCCTAAAAACCACCACCGTAAAAACAACACTAAAACACTAATCTAAACATGAAATCAGACCAAGTGTCCCTCTTCACTGGAGTGTCATGTTAAAAGTAATTCTAGAATCGCTTATCGCCGTTAAATATGTAGTGTTTTTATAATGGGGGCAGAGATGCTTATGACTGTTTGATGTTGATAAATAGGAAAACCAGCTAATTACATTTTGTACTTTATTTAAACAGTCAGCTCAATGTCTACCACGTGATGTAGAACCGTCCAATTGAACGTGAGAGAAACAAGATCTAAATGGGGCTCATGATGTACTTGTATTGTGAACGGTTTGTTTTTAACAGAAAACAGGGGGACAACTCTTAAATGTCTTATTACAACTGGGTAAAACGCGAATGTATTTGTTGAGAAACCAATTTTAAAATAACAAGAACTTCGGAGCGGAGAAGTTGGGTCTATTGATGTTAAAGAACGCTTTAGGTTAAGTGTATACTGTAATTAAAATTAGCCAGAAAATAATTAACCTTTGTCTAGCACGTGTTTGCACCCATCTTTAAAGTCCGTGGATATTTTTATTTATCTTTAACCACCACACTCATTCAATCATCCATTTCATCTTTAATTATTCCCCATGCTCAGCCTTTCTAAGGAACTAAATTTTCCGATGGCCAATGCATTTTAAAATTGTATTTTGTTGTAATTTAGAGCATTTTTGTGTTTATCTTATAATAAAAACTCTGTGCATGTTGGGATATTTGTTGATAGATTGTCAGACAGCAACATATTTGGACATTGGTTTTACCAATTATTACATGTCTAGCTCTGTCTATGCTAGACTATAATTATATCTTCGTCTGGACTAGTTTTACGTAAGACTAGACTTAAAAGGGAGGTAAAATGTGTGAATTTTCCTGTTTTTAATTATCTTCCATTTACTTGTGTAGTTGTCATTGACGGCTCCTCGTTTTTTTTTATTTAGCTGCCGGATTGATGCAAATATTTAGAAAATATTTCAACAACATGCATGATTTACACTGAATATGGACGCGACTCATTTCACATGATCTCTATGTTAATGGTCTTTAAATAGCCACAGTCAGATGTAAGAGTCAGCAGTCATATGTAACGATCATCAAGTTACAACAAAGCACCATGGAGTGGCTTATCAAAGCCTGATCTACTTCATATTACAATTACAACATTTTTTGGAAAATATATTTTTTCCCTCGAAATTCTATCTGCTACTACGAGGAAGGGGGCGTTTCTTCTTTATGATATGTTTTGTATATCAGGACCAGTGTTGGGTACTTTTACATAACAGCAAATCGCGACCATCAAACATTTTTAAAAATCTATCTGTAGAGTAGGCAATTTCTAGTATTGTACATCATATAACTTTATTTCCCGTTTGGTGAGGGTTATGTGTTCAATAGTCCATGTAAGGTAACATATGTCAGTTACGGCAACAGCATATAAGCATGTCTAGTTACTGTACTTGTAAAATATGCAAATCTCTACTGTGATGTAGTCTCTACAATCAAACAACCTCTCGTTACTAGCAACCCAACGGCTCGACACTGATACCCAAAGAGCAGATAAAGTAGAGTCCATTTGTTCCACAGACCTCGGCATAAGAAGTGATAGTGTGATCAGTACTATTTCCAATCGCCTCTGTTTTCCTTACGTGAGTTAGGTACCCATCAGAGCTGGGTGGGCTCAGAGACATTACTGACTCTAACTCGAGATTTTCGGATAAGCAGTCTAACTCTCTACCGCTAGGCCACGCCGTACCTCTATAGTAGCATTAGTTGTCAGTTAGTTGAACCACTTGGCAGAATATTTTGGAAATCGGAAAGATATGTACAAGAAAAATGTAACTTTACTTGTAGCATACATTATTAATCAATAACACTTGTGAAATGTTCATTTTAATTTAAGTCATTAAAATATCGTAGCAAATTAATTTAAATCATTAAAATAATGTCGCTTAATTAACGTTTAATATTTCAACATTTCTAGAAAATCTACTGGTAAACCAATTTTTCAGAAAACAAAACTGCCACCAATAATGATGGAGGAAGGGAATCCCTGAAAGTGAAAGTAGTGTGGACAGACAGTGGCAGAGTTTAAATTACTTCCTGCTTGCAGTGTGAGTACTTCATTCAACGTTCAACCCTTGTGCTGCAACATGCGTCTTTACATTACACAACTTTGTGTTTTCTTAACGTTGTTGGGATGGGTGGACTCACAAAATTATTTCGGTAATTCATTTACTACTGTGTTCTTATGGTGCTAATTGATATATTATATACATACATATATATATATATATATATATATATATATATATATATATATATATATATATATATATATATATATATATATATATATATATATATATATATAATATATATTTATGTGTGTAAACGAGACTTACCCGTTTGTTGCCTCCTGCTCCGTGTAGAGTGCGGTACACCTGACGTCATCAAGGTCTCCCACGGACACATTAGAAGTCCGAACTACCCCACCAACTACACCAACAGTCTCGTGTGTACATGGAGGATCCAGGGTCCGGTCGGCACCTTCATAAGTGTCAGGTAGACTTCAACTGATAACCTCTCTCTCTCTCTCCCTCTCTCTCTCTCAAGTTATCATAGAATATGGTGTGCCTGCTATTGCAAACAGCAATAAAATTGTACCACTGTAATTAAATCCTAAGGTTATTATAAAACTAACGATGCTGTTTTAATGCTTCCAGTTTTATCCGGGTATTCTTTAATACAACACATACTCATTCGTTTATAGCATATCGAGTATTGACCACTTTGAACTCCATGATACCTTTTAAAAAGATTATATCAAAGGCCTCTTAAATTTACATTAATTAAAGGGAGCAGCAAAATATCATAATTTACTTGCTTTAGTTATCTACGTATTTACGAATTAAACACAATCTATTATACGAAGGCGCGCGTCCATAACTTAATGTTTACGGCTAGCATGACACAATGATATGACAGTAAGGTAATCTAAATTTAGACCGGCTCTAGAGTTATCTTGCATGAGCCGTACAAATGTGAGAGAACATGCATGTAATACCATGCCAGAATCTATTGTAGCCCTGCAGCTTTATGTCGTATGCTTCTACCGCTATACAATGGATGCATGGTATACATCTACTGATACATAGTGCCTAGACATTTAGAGGAGATTACTATAAGAGTTTCTTCCAGGCATCTCTTCGGGGGGACGGGGGGACGGGGGGGGGGGGGAACGGGGACGACGACTCAGCCCCCCCCCCCCTCCCCCGAAGAAAGTCTACCGCCCCTCCTCCCCCCCCCCCCCCCCCCGAACAAATAGGAATTTATATAGAAAATATATACCTTTAACAGTCCCATCCCCCCGGAAATTTTAGTCCGCCCTCCTCCCCCACCCGAAAATTTCAAGTGCCCCCCCCCCCCCCAGAGAAAAAAAGTCTGGAAGAAACACTGATTACTCTACTTGCCCTACTGGTACATAGTGCCTAGACATTTAGATACGATAACTCTACTTGCCTTACCCTGGCAGGATCTCGGACATGAAGCTGGAGCCCCACGCCCAGTGCTCCTACGACTCCATCCAGTTCCTTGATCTAGCCGACAGCCAACAGTCGTCAGGACTCTACTGTGAGCAGACGTCACTAGATTGGAGGTCAACCAGCAACGAAGTCCAGGTTGTGTTCCGTACTGACCACAGCGTGACGTACCGCGGGTTCAAGGGGGAATTCTTCGTCCTATACAGTCAGTCCATTCGATTGCTTGAAATCTGAGATGCTTGTTTTTAATTAGAATGTGATTCCATTTTAAAATTATTTTTTTCACCTAGAATGTGATTCGACAATAACCCGACCCTGGGGGTACATAGAAAGCCCGGGGTACCCGATACAGTACGCCCCCAACACGGTATGCTCGTGGACTATCGTGGGACCAGCAGGCAGCAAGATATCTTTACGGTAAGACTCCATTTTTTTCATTATAAAAATATGTGTGTGAATTTGTTAACACATACTTAGCGACCAGAAATAAGGTAGGCCTATAATCCAATTGTTAAAACAAATAGTTATAAAAATTAAAATGGAAAATAATAATTTTAAAAATGTATTAAGACTAACACTCGTATATTAATTACGTTATCGATTACACAGGCCTATAAGAAAATATCTTAAATAAAAATCACAAATAGACAATACATAACAACAAAGTCGGCACATTTAATACCTAGAAGTTTCCTAATAGTTAGCTTCCATTTCATGATATAATGCTAGTTTTAACCTACAACGTTGAACTAAATATTAGTTTGCTCATGTGATGGTTCCAATGCTCACGTAGAACATGTCCCCCCCCCCCCCACACCAGGACCATCAAGCTCCAACTTGAGACCCACTCAGTGTGCCAGTACGACTACATGCAGGTTCTAGACGGCAGCGGGGTCAGGGCCATCAACCTGGGCCGCTACTGCAACTCGGAGCCCCCCGTCCTACAGACGACATCCAACATCATGCAGGTCAGCTTTAGGGCTGACGGCTCTGGCGAGTTCATGGGCTTCAGTGCTCTGTACAGCATCATAGGTATATATTATTACGTAACTCTATCACTGATAAATATTACGTAACTCTCGGATTCTTTTGGGGTGGTTCTAGACTGACAAATCAACGAAACTGTAAAAGACTACCAGAAACAAAGACTCTTCGTAGACTCAAAATCTAATGTCTATAACTATAAATACAAAGGCCTTTTGAAAATAATAGAACTTTTAATCAATCTAAAAACCTTCTAAAAAGCAAACAAGTCTAAATAATAAAATACAATCCAAAAATTTTACAATGTTTAAAACCCAACTTAAATTTCATGGAAATCACAATAACTTCTTTCTACAAATAACACTGGATTAAATACCTAAATAACACAACCTACACGTTATGAAATTATGATACAGAAAAATACTGAATACACTGGAACCTAGAGATAATTATAGCTTGATCTACAAAGTACAACATGGCGACGTGGCTCTCTCTCTCTTAGTGTGTGTCTTGTGGGCACCTCGTGTTTGGAAAATTCCGCCTTTTTATACTTCCTTAAAATTATGGGATGTTGACATCAAGCTGAAGGACCATTGGGGGGGGGGGGGGAGATGAAGTCAAAACACGAGTAACACAGTTGTGAATACTATCACATGAGTCTGGGGAAAATGTTTTAGTTTAAACAACAGACAGCTCAAGGCCATTTAAATATTAATAAAATTAAACTATTAAAGAAAGAAGACCTAAATAGTTCACAAAATCATGTGTGGTGATTTTAGTGCTATGTACAGCATCATATGTATATAACATGTGTGGTGATTTATGTACTCTGTACAACAGCATCAGGTATATATCACGTGTTGTAATTTCAGTGCTATGTATAGTATCATATAGGTATATATCGTATTCAGTGATTGTCTTCTTTGTCAGTTATTATATGAACAAACTGAAGTATTTAAACACGATTACTGCTGCAGTAATTGTTTCGATAATTATTAGATAACATCCAGTTTTTGAATGTCCACTCGAGTTTTGACATAATGTACCGAACAGTGAACGTCATATTTCTGATTTAGTTATTTAAAATGTGAACAATTTTAAATAATATAAATGTATATTGGTTACAAATTACATTAAATTATGTAAAAGTAATTTACCATTGAAATAATATCCGGAAGTAAAAACCACGCGAGATGATTTTGATTTTTTTTGTGGCTCATGCTAATTGTGTCAGATACAAACACAGATACATTTTTTTGATCTGTTACAAATTTGATTTTTACAAAATAGGGCCTATATCAGGTAGAAGGGAGATGTAACTTTGATTTGATTCCTACACAGTTTGTCATGAGTCACCTGTAAATGTGATTTGCTGACAGGTAGAACTTTGTCACCTGAAAATGTGATTTGCTGTCAGTTAGAACTCTGTCACCTGTAAATGTGATTTGCTGTCAGTTAGAACTTTGTCACCTGTAAATGTGATTTGCTGTCAGTTAGAACTCTGTCACCTGTAAATGTGATTTGCTGACAGGTAGAACTCTGTCACCTGTAAATGTGATTTGCTGACAGGTAGAACTCTGTCACCTGTAAATGTGATTTGCTGACAGGTAGAACTCTGTCACCTGTAAATGTGATTTGCTGACAGGTAGAACTCTGTCACCTGTAAATGTGATTTGCTGACAGGTAGAACTCTGTCACCTGTAAATGTGATTTGCTGACAGGTAGAACTCTGTCACCTGTAAATGTGATTTGCTGACAGGTAGAGGAAACGAGCAGGTGTGTGACGATGCCAGCCAGTGTCCACAGAACAAATCCTGCATCAGCGGCTACTGCGCTTGCGCCTCGACCACCTTCTTCCAGAACTCCACCAACCAGTGTACATCGAGTAAGTTGAGTCTTACATTTAAAATAGTATCACGTCATTAGGTCTTAGGTCATTTAAAATAGTATCACACAGTTAGGTCTTAGGTCATTTAAAATAGTATCACACACTTAGGTCTTAGGTCATTTAAATTGTATCACACAGTTAGGTCTTAGGTCATTTAAAATAGTATCACACAGTTAGGTCTTAGGTCATTTAAAATAGTATCACGTCATTAGGTCTAAGGTCATTTACATTGTTAGGTCTAAATTTTAATTAGGTGCTTTCGAGTCGTACATGGCTAGATCTTAGGTCATCTAAATTAGGTGCTCTGGGGTCCATTAAAATAAGAGCAATTTAGTCTCAAATCACCAATTTAAAATAAACCGGGAGTGATCTCCCCTAAACTTTCTCGAATATTCTTATATAAAATAACAGGGGATGGGAACTCGGGCTATAGACATGATTTTTAATCCATTTTAAATACTTAAAGTTTTAAAAATAGAATAAAATCTCGTAGACAAATTAATTGCACACCAAGTGAACGCGAAATAAAAAAGCGCATAATAGTGCGCAATATTATTATTACTTTTAAAATTTACATTAGTTTTTTGAGAAATCGGAAGTAGCGTAAAGTACTACTTCCAGTCAACGGAAATGACTCAAAATTTAATAGAAGGTAGAGAATTAGATCTTTTACTTACGTATGAAATTTCATTTATCTATCTGAAATAGTACTCAAGTTATAGGCTTTTGAAAAATTCAAAGTAGGAAAAGTACCACTTCCGGTTATCGGAAATCGCTCAAAAGTTGATACGGATCTACGATTTTGATAAAATACTTATATATGAAATTTCATCAACCTAGCTGTAACGGTACTCAAGTTATCGTGTTTACACACGGACACACACACACACAGACACACACACACACAGACACACAGACATACGGACAAGATTGCAAAATTATGTTTTTCCGTATCAGTGAGATGCAAAACGTCGAGATTTGCAAAAATCTCGATTTTTTTTTTTTTTGCACGATTACAAGACTTTCTCTATACTTCGTATATACGAGAAAGTAAAAAAAGATAATGATGTCTTAATACACTAGTTAGGTCTTTTAAAGAGAACATGTTGCTACAAGTCTAGTGTTTTGTTGTATTATGAGAACATTTTGCTATAAGTCTAGTGTTTTGTTGTATTATGAGAACATTTAGCTACAAGTCTAGTGTTTTGTTGTATTATGAGAACATTTTGTTACAAGTCTAGTGTTTTGTTGTATTATGAGAACATTTTGCTACAAGTCTAGTGTTTTGTTGTATTATGAGAACATTTTGCTATAAGTCTAGTGTTTTGTTGTATTATGAGAACATTTAGCTACAAGTCTAGTGTTTTGTTGTATTATGAGAACATTTTGTTACAAGTCTAGTGTTTTGTTGTATTATGAGAACATTTTGCTACAAGTCTAGTGTTTTGTTGTATTATGAGAACATTTTGCTACAAGTCTAGTGTTTTGTTGTATTATGAGAACATTTCGCTACAAGTCTAGCGTTTTGTTGTATTATGAGATCATTTCGCTACAAGTCTAGTGTTTATTCCAAAGGGTTTACCCGCTATGAAAGCTGTACAGAAAATGGGCAGTGTAAACAAAGTTTATTGTGTAGAAACGGCGTGTGTAACTGTTCTACTGACCAGTATTTTAATGTGACATCACAGCAGTGTTTGACACGTAAGTAGTGTGTAGTGTGTTGTGATTGGTGTATTTCTTAAATGTACTTCGTGTCAGCTAGTAATCGTAAGATTTATGGATATTAGTTTTAAGTTTTGATTTTAAAATTTGACTTAACTTTATAACAAAACAATGACATCATTTAACAACGTTCAACTCAATCGCGAGTTTTGAAAATGAATTATGAAATGTGTTGTAATAATAATTTCTAAGAAATAAAACTCACACAAATGTTTTGAATATTTAGGATTATCCCGATTCATCAGTTGTAACGAGAGTTCTCAGTGTAAAGCTACCTTAAGCTGCATTCACAATCAATGCAACTGTAGCGATGACGAGTATTATAATGGAACCACTGCACACTGTCATGCGAGTACGTATTACAATAAAATCTGTATCCTGTACAATTGTATAGTGAGCCTGGTCTAGATTGGATGTGAGTGAAACATTTGAGGCGTAGTTAGTGGATAACGGGTGGGGCGGCCGTCTCGGGCGCCAACCTGAAAGGGCGCCAAACGATGTAGACAATTTTTTTAAAAAAAGCTCATTCTTAGCTGCATTAGTGAATTATACACAGTCGAAGCTAATAAAATAGACTGCTGCTAGGAGCTACAGACTGATTTAACAGTTTTTTATATTGATTCCGTGGCACCAAAGTTAATATTTTTAAAGGATAGTGGCTTGTAAAAAACGACATCTATCTTTTTGGCCAACTTGAATAACTTTATATAGGTTAAAGTGAGGTGGGTGCTGGGGGCAAATTTGATATATCGCCCCTGGTGCCTGAATTTGTTGATACACCTCTGGACAGATGTGTGATATGTTAGTGTATTTCTCTATTATAACATCGATTTTAAAACGATTTTGCTTACCCAGACAGTAGATAGAAAACATTTGCTCGAAAATAGAAAACAAAATTGTTTTGAATTTTCTTTTTTCGAGACATAGGCCCTAGATGTTCATAACGAAAAATTACATGCTTAAATTAAAATCCATGAACCCACCAGCCCAAAGACTCGGTAGTTCTTACTGTGTTTTGATGCTCTGTTATTATCTCAGAATTATCCAAGGACAGTAACTGTGTTGACACGTCCCAGTGTAAGGCGAGTCTATCCTGTTTGGCGGGGAGGTGTGGCTGTACCACCACACAATTCTTCCACAGCAGTTTGTCCGTGTGTCAAACTAGTAAGTATGGTGTGGTTGTATGTGGTGTATGTGGCTGTACCACCACACAATACTTCCACAGCAGCTTGTCCGTGTGTCAAACTAGTAAGTATGGTGTGGTTGTATGTGGTGTATGTGGCTGTATGTGGTGGGACAACCACACTATTCTTCCACAACAGCTAGTCCGTGTGTCAAGCTAGTAAGATATTCCATTGTGTTGTATCATTATGTGGGGACGTCCGTACAATGACATCAACCCATGCATAAACTTTAGATGTCCCCATTGTTTTTTCTTCACAAGCATAACAAATAAAAATAAGTTTCAAACATTTGCAGTTTCCTTTATGTTTATCATCACTATTTTATGTAATCTTCCTAAAAAATAAAATCAACTAAAAAAACTAAAAAGCCGAAGAAACTACAGTTTATTGTGCGGCATAATTTATTTAAACAATTAATGATCTAGATGGTTGGAAGATTATATTTTAAACATATTGGAATGTAGTGTTACTTAATGCAACACATTTTGCGTGTAATGTTAAATATCTATAACTGTTTACATTTCTATTAATTATTTTAACTTTTTCAACAAACCGTTGAAATTGTAACAACTCGCTAATATTAACACATTTTTCAGGACTGCCTGAATCAGAAAACTGCACGGAAAGTTTACAATGTCAACAAAACCTGACCTGTATACACAGCACATGCACGTGTTCGAGTGCAGAATTCTTTGACAACACCACCCAGTTCTGTTTTATAAGTAAACAATCTTGGACATTATTTCAATAGTTATGCCAACATTTCATATTACAAAAATATCATCCAAACCTCCAATAATAAAATTATGTTTTGTTAAGTAGTAACAAGATCGTTACTTTGTTATCACACAGATAAAATTTCACTTTTTTCAGGATAATTAACGGTTAGTCTGTAAATTTTTTGAATACATAACTAAAATGGTATTGTCTTGTTTTTGATAGGACGATCCCATTTAGAGAGCTGCAGCCTAAGTTCTCAATGTAAAGACAGCTTAAGTTGCATTCACGGAGTGTGTGAATGCACAAGTGAAGAGTTCTTCGATAACAAAACACAGTCGTGTCGCGAAAGTGAGTTTTGTGCTCATATTTTTTTGCCATTTAAAAATAAATGATTAGAGGCGTTGTTAATTAAGGTTACGCTGTTTCTCGTTCATATAATAATATCAATTATTTAATTATTTAAATATTGAAGTAAACTATTAAAACACTGGTTAATTTTACTTTAAAAATTGACGTTTATGTAGCTTACATTGTGTTACGTTTTATTCACACACACACATCAAGGGCTATCATACACTGAAGGATGTGCTGATGATTTGCAATGTAAAGCGAACCTTAGCTGCGTCCAAGGGAAGTGTGGGTGTTTAGATGACCAATATTTCAACAACCAATCGCAGCTATGTTTTACAAGTAAGTGCGTTTAGTAGGATCTTCCATGTTGTTTTTTGCCAAAGTACATACACATCAAACTGTATGTATATGTTGTTTTAATGATTTAAAAAATATTAAAATTTAATTAAGAATTTATATCAACTATTCTAAAATAATGTAATGTAAATTTTAAATATAGGGCTCTTTCATGCAAAAGATTTAACAAAATAAACTGGATAGTAAACAGATAACTAAGGCATCTCTTTAGGAGTGGCGGGGGGAGGGGTGGTGAGAGCACGTCAACTGCCCCCTCCCCCTCCCCCCTCCCATAGGAAATAGAAAAATATTAAATTATATAGAAAATATATCTTTTAATTCGTGTCCATTTCCCCTAAACGGAGATATTAAGTGCCCTCACCCCGCAGTGTCAATCCCCCCTCCCCCATATAAAACATTTGAAAGAAACCCTAACTAAATATTTCTACTGTTTAGGACTGGCCCGATCCGACAGTTGTAGCGACAGTCACCAGTGTAGCCTTACACTAAGCTGTATCGCCGGGGAGTGTACGTGTGATAGTGGCGAGTACTTCGACAACACCACTCTCTTCTGCCTTACACGTAAGCAACCTTTACAACAATTCACTTATAAACTATAATGGTCATTGATTATATTGCTGGGTGTTTCTTGACCCAGTTACTTGGTGTAGGTTATTTTACTATTGGTGTATTCAAAGTAAAATATGATCGTTGCTTGTGTTCTAAAATTGAATATTTTTATGTGTCAAATTTTAGAGTTGGGACGTTTTAACAGCTGCTCTGAGAGCTACCAGTGTGAGCCAAGTTTGAGCTGTGTTTCTGGGACCTGTGAGTGCACGACACATGAGTACTATGATGGCTCACTCAACGCTTGCTCTACACGTAAGGCGATGCACCTGTTGTTTACATAAACCAGAAATATGTGCAGTAAACTCATATATTTCTTAGCGACTGACATAGGCTTAATATTCATCAACACTTTAAAAGTATTTATACTTCAAAAGATACTACTGTGTAGGTCTGTCTATATTCTACTAACAATCCTACTAATTTATAAGCCTGTCTATATTCTACTATGAAACCTACTTTCATGTAGGTCTGTCTATTTTCTACTATGAAACCCACTATTGTGTAGGTTTGTCCATATTCTACTATGAAACATATTACTGCCTAGGTCTGCCAAGATTTGAGACGTGCTATGACAGCATGCAGTGTTCAAACAACTTACGATGTGTCAGTGACATGTGTGATTGTGCCAGTGACGAGTACTTTGACAACTCAACAAACACGTGCAGTCCTCGTAAGTCTCTGATGATAATTATCAGTTGCGTTGTATCTTCTTTAAGGGCATGGGCGGGTGATGAGTACCTACTTCCTTATTTCCGAGTCTAAAGATGTAATACTTGGCTAATAGTTATAACTCAAAGAGTTAAGCATAAAAATATTTTTTTTAATTTTTTAAATCTTCCGTTGCCATGGTGACGGCGGCCATATTGGATTTTATTGACGATTTTTAAATGGAAATAACTCAAAAATGGTTTGTTCAAATTTCATGAAAACTTAATATAGTCTGCAGACACATGTGTTTAAGACTTCTGATAGATTACATTTTCAAAAAAGAAAATAGTTTTTTTTTTACTTTTTTTTTAAAAACATTACTGTAAAAATTTCATTATTTCGTCCAATTTTTTCACTATTTCAACAACAAAATTTTTTTTTTTACAAAAATTCCAAAAGTGTTCTATCAGTTTTCTTTGAACATATATAAAGAGTAACTGGAGCAAATTTAGTTCAGTTCTGATAATTATTAACAAAGTTATTTCAACAATTGTACATAAAAACATCAAACTGAGAAAAACGCAAAAAACTAACAAAAAGTTGCAAAAAATGAACATTTATCGCTGTATGTCACTAAAATCGACCACATTTATAGCCTGAAGTATGGTGCTGCTGAATATATTCCTTCTGAGCTTGTTCGGCTGTTAGTTTTCTTTTTTTCTGGCGCTGTTTGTTTTACCTAGAGTTGTAGTAAAGCTGTTGTCATGGCGTCTTTTTTCGCGTCTTCACTGAGTCTTCGACTATGGTTTCCTTCTTTTGACAGCAATGCCATAGCATGCCTGGGCCCAAAATTGAATTATGCTATCACAGAAACAGCAGTATATTTTGCATGGTCTCATGTCTAAAGCCAATTATGATAAGACGTCTTTGTTTATTGTGAAAGGCCTTGTTCTGGATTCTTTTGCAGTTGTATACTTACGGTTTACAACATTTTTATTACTGCCACACCATGCTTGAAGCAAACCCTTTACACTTTTTTCATCAATAGTAGCCACTACATCACAGTGTGCGAGGAGATATATTGATAACATCAAGAAGCAAATCACAGTCGACAATAATTCTGCATGGCTGTGGTTTACAATTAGTACTACTAGTACTAGATGTAACAGTGCTTTCTTCTGTCTGTAAAAACTGTGTCTTACATTGCCGCAGTTTCTTAGTAAATGTGCATATTACATCTGCACCAGTGCTTGTCTGAATAGTGCTAGATTTAGTAGAGGTAGCTGCAATCAGTTGCATTCGGACGAGCCCTAGCTTTAGTAAATTAGTTAGATGTGTGTATCTATTTTTAGCGAGTATTTTGTTCTACGCATTATCGAAAGAGAAACAAATTAAATCGTCTCACTGCTTATGATAATTCACACAAACTAATCTAAACTGTTAATAGTATATTTAATTGAAATAATTATATGTTAAAATAATGTAAGTATTTTACAGAAGCTTAGAGAAACAAAACTAGATCAAACTTAGCAACGCGCTGAAACTAAGGGAATGTTTACTCCCGAAGCGAAACGACCAATCGCTAACTAGCTTCCGCCGTCGTATGCCAATGAAAAAATTGAGGTCAAAAATTTGCATACCGGAAAAACCCGACTGAGTAAAATAAACAACTTTATGACGTAGAAAAATAATCACATTAAAATATGTATTTTGATTGGTCATTTAATTTTAGAACAAATAAAGAAAGGAGGTCACGGCCTTTCCATTGATATGAAACACATTAGGTTTCCGCGAAGCCTAATAGTACTTTTCTAGGTCGAAAAATTGCTTTTTTTACCAAAAAATTAAACAAAAGACCATGTACACACTACATTGAACCCGGTTTTTCATAATTAAATACTGTTTTTAGGGTCATAACAATGTCATTTTTAGATTCAACGATGGTTATTCTGTATAGATCAAGTAAAAGTGGGAAATCGATGATTTAGTGGATTTATGACGAAAAGTACACCCGCCCATGCCCTTAAAATTCCAGTATGATTTTATATATCTGAAACATTTAATGTGTATTCTCTAAGGATTACCCCGATATGGAAACTGCACGCATGATTTACAATGTGAAGACATCTTAAGTTGTATTGACGACAACTGTGTGTGCAAGAGTGAGCAGTATTTTGATGACACCTCCAGGTCATGCCAACCTAGTGAGACCACTTTGCACATACTTTTTACACTTTAAGGAAATTTTGTTTTCTGTTTTCTAAAAGTTAAATACAATTGCAAATAAAGGCCTAGGTAAAAGTAAATTTTAGTAAATTTTTTGTGAAATGTTTTTTTTTTCGTGTGAAGGACTGTCAGTAAATGAAAGCTGTACAACAAGTTCACAATGTAAACATAGCTTTAGCTGTGTCAACAACACGTGTAGCTGCCTGGCAACAGAGTATTTCGATAGTTCAACTGAGATGTGTTTTTCACGTAAGTTGGCACAGGTTTGCATTGAGCTGAATTGAGAATACTTTGCCAAGTGAAAACAGAATATCGAGAAATTAAATTATGCTCTTTTGATGTTGCTTTCATTTAATATTTAAATAAAGCAAGTAAAATGATGTGTATAAACAATATTTTGATATTAGAGATGTTAGTTTTATAATGTTAATGTTACCCCTAATCACTCCTCTAATACTGAAGGGTTAGCACGGTTCTCAAACTGTAGCCACACAGAGGAGTGCAGTACCAGTTTGACTTGTATTGAGGGGGTGTGTGAGTGCACATGGGATGAGTACTTCGACAATCAAACAAACTCTTGTCAGCCAAGTACGATAACAATACAGTTTTGATAATTGATAATAACAAATTAGTATAATCTTTAATCCAACTCTTGTCAGCCAAGTACGATAACAATACAGTTTTGATAATTGATAATAACAAATTAGTATAATCTTTAATCCACCTTAATTAGAAATATAATTTGAAATGAAAAGACTACACACTAAGCGACTAACACAAACAAGCTAACATAATTTAAAACTTTAATAGGATATTCCCGATTCAGCAACTGTACAGAAAGTTTACAATGTGAAGCTACCTTGACCTGTGTTGATGAAACCTGCGATTGTACCAGTCTGGAGTACTTTGATAACTCGACAAGATCATGTCTTGCAAGTAAGATAATATTATTCTTTGCTTTCTTAACGCAGGACGTATTAAACTATTAAGTTAAACCATTATGGATATTTGAACTATTTAGTGACCTTAACAAACATTAACTGCTAAGTTTTAGAATTAAGAAATGTTTATTTTAAACTTTAAACTGTATCACCATTATATTCCCCAAGGAGTGTTCAGGGGAGACAACTGCTCCGATATATACGAATGTTCCAGTTCTCTCTCCTGTATAGACGGAGTGTGCAACTGTACCCAAACAGAATTCTTTGATCATCTCACCAACTTATGCTCAGACAGTAAGTTTGTCAATATAATATGTGCTGTCATAATTCATTTGAAAACAGCAGTTATACATACTGTTATGTCAGCACAAATATCATCTAAAAGTTTAGTTGGGTGTCATGCTAAATAGTATGTTCTATTTTATCTGAGTCTGTGAATATATGCGCGTTTGTGTACATGAATTTAATCATTTTACTTTTATATTCGTAGACTTTAACCATTTACTTTTATATTTGTAAACATGACTTTAACCATTGACTTTTATATTTGTAAACATGACTTTAACCATTGGCTTGTATATTTATAACAAGGATTAGACCGTCTCTCTTCATGTAACGACACGACCCAATGTAAAAACACCTTGTCTTGTCTGGGTCAACGCTGTGATTGTTCTGGTGACCAGTTCTATGACCACTTGCCTGCCCTGTGTGTTACAAGTAAGTTTAACCAGCGGAAGGTCCATTGTATAGCTTAGTATAGACACAAGTTGACCAGTTCTATGACCAATTGCCCGCCCTGTGTGTTCCAAGTAAGTCTGCAACGTTCAGTTTGATGGTGTAACTAGATTTCTCAGTAGTTATGTAGTTGTAAAACAATCCTTAAATTTTTCAACCTTAACATCGGGTAAAGCAAAATTTTAAATGGCTAATCGATATCCATAATATGCATCGGTTTCATTACATTCGACTGAAATTTTGAGTATCTGATTACATTTCAATGACATTTTAAGCACAAAGGATCTGATTACATTACACTGACGTTTTAATCATAAACTATCTGATTATATTTCATTGACATTTTACCCACCTAGGATTACCTAAGGGCGAGAACTGCTCACTGTCTGCTGAATGTCAAAGTAGTCTCTCTTGTGTCAGTGGGAAGTGTGGTTGTTTAACGTCGGAATTCTACAGTGACTCGCTCAACGTATGCAGGACAAGTAAGTCTTTTTATAGTGACTCGCTCAACATAGGCAGATAAAGTGAGTCTGACCAATATCTTGGGAGGTTTAATAGTAAATAAGTACTTCATTTTATAAGCGCCAAAACATAAGTTTTCATACATCACTAAATATGCTTGTTTATATATATATATATATATATATATATATATATATATATATATATATATATATATATATATATATATATATATATATATATATATATATATAAACATCAGGATTAGGCCGACACGAGGCATGTAATGAGACACTACAATGTAAGGAAACTCTCTCTTGCTTAAATAAACAATGCGGTTGTACTGACGATGAGTTTTTTAACAACACTTCAGCATTTTGTAATTTAAGTAAGTACTTATATTGTTGTACATTATTTACATAACCTTAGTGGCTATTGTATTGTTTAAATGTGTTAGAGATTATTAAAGCTTTAGTTTAACACTTATTAGCATATTTTACTGTTTAGAGAAAAAAATACGCATGGCACTTTTTCGACAGTTAACATATTGTTAAACACTTAGGTCAAATAATTTCGGTCACATTTTTGATTGATCTTATAGCTTCAGCATTACTTGTATTGCTCCTATGTCCTTAGGGCTACCAAAAGAAAATAACTGCTCTGACACAAATGAATGTAAGAGCAGCCTGACTTGTCTCAGTGGTGTGTGTAATTGTTTACCTTCAGAGTTTTATAACACCACATCCAACACCTGCTCAGAGAGTAAGTATCCTTAAACCACCTTTCTCAGCTCATATTCTTACAGTCATACTTGACACATTTTAGGAGTTTAAAAAACAGTTCGCTAATGTTTTTAGTTTTGGAAGTTAACATTGAGAAATAAATATCATGTTAACTATAGGACTCAGTCGACTTGAAGGATGCCTCGATACTTTCCAATGTAAAGATTCACTGTCTTGTTTAAATGGCAGTTGCTCTTGTACAAGTCAAGAATTTTTCAACTCAAAAACAAAACTTTGTCTTCCGAGTAAGTCGTTAGTTCTCTAGATTTATACTTGTAGTAGTAATGAAGACTGTATCTTTGAGTAGAACACGAAGATTTTGATTTGAATATAAGATGAAGATTTGATATTTGTTTAAACAGGACGCGAAGACTTGATTTTTATCATGACAATACACGAAGATTTGAACTATATTTATGTTCATTGCAGGGTTATCTAAGGGAGATAACTGCTCATCAATACAGGAATGTAAAAGTAGTCTTTCTTGTATCAGCGACAAATGTGGGTGTTGGACAGCTGAGTTTTACAATGGGACTGCTGAGATCTGTTCAACAAGTAGGTTTCCATTATATGATCGTTAGAAAAAGTGGTCTTAACAGAAACTAAAATAATGGACAAATTTTTGTTTGTAGCTTACAATTTGTTCTTAAAAATGCAAATAAAATTAAAATAAATAGTTGCTGGTTGCTGCTAAAATAGACACAGTAAAGACAACAGCTCATCCTAAAGAAAAAAAATAAACACCTCACTGAAATAGTTCGATTAAACATGGTGGAACCTAATTAACGAATTGATGGTCTCTGGAAAAAACAAATTCAGAACAGGTTTTTGGAGACGATGTTTGATTTTTGTTTAACTAATAAAATCCTTCTGAGCGATATGAGAGTATAGACTAAAGACACCATATTTTGATAAAATACATGAGCCTGTGCACCGTTTTGGTTGGAGTATCAGTACTACTAAACATATTTTCAGGACTCGAATTGTACAAGCCGTGTGACGAGACACTACAGTGTAAATATACCCTCTCTTGTGTAAATCAACTCTGTCGGTGTACTGATAATGAGTTTTACAACGGTAAACTCGGTGTCTGCAACCAAAGTAAGTGACTTTTTGTTGCTGAGTGATCGATTAACACTAATATAGCAAGATCAATCTCTATTAAATGTTGCGATATGTTCAATACAAATATATATCTCCTTAGGATTATCAAAAGAAGACAACTGTTCAGATACACGGGAATGTAAGAGAAGTCTAACTTGCATTCATGGAAAGTGTGGCTGTCTTCAGTCCGAGTTTTTTAACAACACACTCAGGGAGTGCACACAAAGTAGGTTTTACAGTACTCTATATTGATAAGCATAGAATATAGACTGTAAAACACATCTAAGCATATAGTAGCCCTGAATGAGAAAGATAGATCTGGTTCGTTTGATTTGCTCAGGATTATCCCGGCACCAGTCGTGTGATGAGACACTACAATGTCAGGACACCCTCTCTTGTTTGGGTCAGATGTGTCGATGTACAGAGGATGAGTTTTACAACACCACATTTGGTGTCTGTAGATCAAGTAAGTGGTGATGTTTTGGTGTCGCATCAAGTTTGAGTGAACAACTCTAAGTTGTTAGAAACTAATAAAGGTTTATTATTTAAAAAACTATAATTTTAATGCGTTACGTAAGACATTCTAACAATCATAATCGTTAAGGATTATCAAGAAAAGATAACTGCTTAGATACGTATGAAACAGTAGCGTACGCAGGGGGGGAGCAGGGGGAGCGGCCGCTCCCCCTCTGGCCATTTTCAGCAAAGTGGCGCCTTTTTGGAAACTTTTTAAACTCAGTTTTAAACAATGATATTTGTTAAAAAAATATTTTTGGTCGGCACATCTATGTAAATCACAAGATTTCTTATAATGCAGCAGTTAAGCATTATTGTACTAGTCTAGTAGTGTCTACGTTTACAACACGTATTAACAGCTGCTAATAACCATTACGATGCATTGCAATGTTTAAAAAACCTCTACGGTAGTACCACTTGCCAAGAGGGGTGTTAAGTTTAAGGCAACTGTATAATGTATTTGCTTACGAATCATTCAATTAGAAAATGTTATACATAAAACTTCACACAGAATTACTTTATATATACAGTTTGAATCGTGTGATTAATTTTTAAAAAAAATTGCAATACAGAAACAAATACAACTGATGTGGTACCTCTATTTAAATTTACTTATGAGCAAACTGCGCAGTGGTGGGGAAGTTTTGACAAGGTCAACAACGTCATCACGATGAAGTAGTAGTATTCTTACAGTTTGGGCGATAGTGATTACGATTACAAATTATATGAAACAGTTACAACCCCCCTCCCCCATGGACCCCTCTGTAAAAAAAATATTGTGATAATACCACTGTTACTTATTTAAATCTATTTCTGTAATATATATTTGTGTAATATATATTTGTGTAATATATATGTATGTTTAAAACAGTCATCTAAAAACTGTCGCTATGTTCACTCTGAGTTGGTTATCTCTCCCCCCCCCCCCCACACACACACATACCTCACCACCACAATTGTGTAGAGCGACATTAATGTCACACCGAGGTATACACTGGGTTGGATAATTGACCTAAAGTGAAGGGACAGTGGTGAATGAAGTTGAACCCACCCCCCCCCCCCCAACCCACTCCGAACTGATCTTTTAAGTACATGTAGAAAAACGCGTAATGATGTACCAAAGTACCATGCCGCCAGAAAATTAGCTTTTTAAACATAAAACTCTGTGAATATTGTTTTTGCAATTACCAGTAAAAAGGTGTGTGATCAATACAGTGATCTAACCCATACCTATCACTATGTTAAAAAATGATCTTTAATGAACACAAAGAAGCAATAGTTAATTAAAAAATATATGATCTGAACTAAAAAACCGAGATATAGTTAAATGTAGGCTATTATTCCGAATGTTTTTTTTCTATTGTATCGAAAAGCGTGGTTTTATACCAACTCTGATTTTAAAAACTTTCATTATGCTGTAATACTTTAGCATTTATGATGACGATATATTAAATTCTGATTATAGACAAAAACATTTTGTAAACACGAATAGTGTTAAACAATTTCATTATATTCTAAAGTAATTATTTATTTGTTTGACATTTATAATTAAATGTGTAGATATATACATATTTATATTAAGAGAGTGATTATTTCCCCTATTTCACTTGTCTTAAATAATTTTCTAGGAATTATTATGTAAGAATTTTATTTTTACAAGAATTACAAAACAGCTTGTGTTACGTTCATTGTTTTTAGTTGTAGTGTGTGTATATAATTTTTTTTTTTAGATTGATACAATTTTTGTTTTGTCGGCCTACATTGTGTTTTTTTTCTTATTTCTTCAGAGTGCTACTTTCAATTTATTTTACATCATAGCGAAGTAATGACATACAGCTAGTAATATATATATATATATATATATATATATATATATATATATATATATATATATATATATATATATATATATATATATATATATATAATACACGTATATAGAACGTGTTAAAAATTCGGCGCCTTTTTTTGCTCTTTTCGCTCCCCCTACAACGAAAACCTGGATACGCCTCTGGTATGAAAGTAAGAGTAGTTTCTCTTGTATCAGAGAAAATGTAATTGTTCTATAACGACACGATGAAAGCATGCGCACAATGTAGGAATTATAAACATGATTTGGTACATTCTCACGAAGGTTTAAATAAAGTTACTGTTGACAGTTTACGATGTATAGAGATCAATGTGTTGTTTCAGGGCTGGGTCACCATGAGACATGTCTTGAGACAGACCAGTGCAAAGACACACTGACCTGTCTAAATGACAAGTGCTCTTGTCGGGCAGAGGAGTTTTATGATTTACAATTAAAACGTTGTACTTCCAGTAAGTGTGGCACTTATTTTAGATTTTGATTTGCTTTTAAATGTTGATGGTTTTAAATGCCTTTTGCAATATTCCTCAAGTTATTCAAAAACGAAATAAATTAATGAAAGTGTTTTTATCCCTAAATTTCTTTACGTTACTGAACGTTTCTATCGTTTTTAAAGGATTTTCAAAAGACGAAAACTGTTTAAACAGTTCCGAGTGTCAAGATACTCTCAGCTGTATTCGTGGTAGATGTCACTGTAGGGACACACAATTTTTTGATGCAAGCAACCACTGTGTACCAAGTAAGATCTGGAAAGCTAATGTATGTCTATTTTTACTAGTATATATATATATATATATATTATATATATATATATATATATATATATATATATATATATATATATATATATCTTAAAATTAACTTTAAAAGTTTTCAGCATTTAAAAATAGTACAGGCTTGCTAATTCATGAATTGATTTGCTTGCTACTAATTTATTTACGATGACATTCGATTTGTCAGGATTAAATCAGTACCAGTCATGTGATGAGACACTACAATGTCAGGAATCTCTCTCATGTTTGGGTCAGAAGTGTCAGTGTACAGATAATGAGTTTTACGACAAATCCCACTGCAGTTTACGTAAGTGTAAAAATAATTTGCTACGGTTATTCTATACCAAATAGCCGTTTAATAAATACCTTTGCATGCAAGTAAAATTTATTATCACAGAAGCTTATTTTGCATTGTTAATATATGTTTAAAGGAAAATCTAAGGGACAGAACTGTTCACACAAGCGTGAATGTAAGAGTAGTCTGTCCTGTATCAACGGGAAATGTAACTGTATGCAGTCGGAGTTCTTTGACCCTACTCTTGGCTTGTGTTTGACCAGTAAGTTTATTTCCAGTCTAAGACTATTAATACTCAGTTCAAAACTTATATCTAGGGATAATCAAAAACTGTTTTTTTTAAAGATTTGTCATTAGCAAAACAGGCTGTGAGCTATGCTTAGTAATAATTTCTGTTTTTAAAAAAAAAATGTCACGTATTAATCAAATAAAAATATACCAGTCTTAAGGAACACAAGTTAAACTATAACTGATACGGTTAAAATATGATCCTCTTGTTTGTTATTTTGATGTTGACTTCCTTGTTGTGTGGATGTTTTGACTACGTTGTACATGTACTGTCAACAGAGTTTGAAAGATATCAGTCATGTCAAGACACGCTTCAGTGTAAAGAAAGTTTGTCGTGTTTAAACAGACAGTGCACGTGTGCAAACAACGAGTTCTTCAATTCTTCATCAGCCAAGTGTGAAATACGTACGCGATTATTACTGTTTCAATTTTGATATATTCATACATAACACTAGAGTTCGTACACGTTAATGATATTTAAATACGCGGACATAAGGCAATCGAAGCAATTGTGAAAAGTGTATAACTACATACGAAAATACTTACATGAGTATCGTGTAACTTGAAGATCACTATTTGTGTAACCCCTATTTCACCTATATCAGGGTTACCCAAGGCCAGCCCGTGTACAGACACCAGCCAATGTCAGGAGACCCTCACCTGTATGGCTGGAACATGTACCTGTACAGACAACCTGTTCTACACCACCACGGCCAATCGGTGCCAGGAAAGTCAGTTGTAATCTAATAGCATTTCATGTTTAATTGCATTGCATTAGTTTAACACAAACCAAGGGAAAAAAACGTGCACCATTTGTCATGAATATGTTTTTTATTATAAGAAAAAAATTGCATAAATTATGTGTACTGTTAGACAAAAGACTTACCTACCTATTTAGATAAACCTGAATATTAATTCTAGATTTGTAATGTTTTATCATCTGTTGTGTTGTAATGTAGAGCTACAGCGAGGCCAGCCATGCACGTCAACCAACCAATGTACCAACAGTCTCACCTGCGTCAAGGGCAGCTGTACCTGTACGAGCAATGAATTCTACGATACAGCCTCATCAAGATGTGCTCAACGTGCGTTCACTTCAATATACATTTGGCAAAGCTATAATACAATATTATTTGGAGTTATTATTAGAAACAAATTGGAAGCAAATCCTAAAAGAAAAGCAGGCTGAAATCGAAGTTAACGGCTTATATAGCGCATAACAAGTTAACACAATGATTAATTGTGTTGGAGGGAATCTTTTCCAACAGGAAAACTAAGATCGAAGAAGTAAAAGATAGAATATTTTAAGTTAAATGTTTGCAGACCTTTTGCCACTGTTTAAAAAACCCACCATTTTGAGTTTCTTTATGAGATTTATCTAAACCTAAAATATACTTACATTCTTTATTATATCTGTAACTATACGTACATTCTTATGTCTGTAATTATACGTACATTCTTATGTCTGTAAATGTATCCATTATATCGCCTGTCCCTTACCATAGGTCTACTCCTACCGTCCCCACCCCCTATACATCACAACCTCATAACGACAGGGCACTCTGTTTGCAAACCTCTGTCTTACTTAAAATGTGTCAAAATGTATTTCCTGCTTGTGATATTTTTCGACGAGTTTTCATTCCTGTATTCATGCCTTAATGTACGCCAAAATGTACACCTATTAATGTTTCAAAAATGACAGGTGTGTCTAAAAGTCTACCATGCACAGCGAGCACTCAATGTCAAATTACTTTCACCTGTGTCAACGGCCGCTGCACGTGCAAGGGAGATGAGTTTCACAACAAGACAGCCAATGCTTGCATCGCAAGTGAGAATGTTTTGTTTTTATTTTAATTTATCTCATCTAGTTCGACTTATAATTTATCAAAAGAATACTCAAGGCCATTTTTTTTTAAATTTGAAGAATAAAATGCATGCTTGAAACGCCTTAACCCTAGCCTCACCAAAAACATAAAGTAGTCATCGTCTACTTATTGAGTATATGTCAAATTTTATTTTTAAAAAATCATTATGGTAGTCTGACGATAGATCACACATCCACTAACCCGAAAGTCTCGTGTTTGGATTCCTGGCTCGATCCTTTAAGACCATCTCGAATCCACCCAACTCGGATAAAAATAAAGAAAGGAGCCTGGAGATACGGCTGACAAAGTTATTTTTTCATGTTGATGTCATTGGAAGTAGAAATTTACGACATAAGCCCCGTGTCTTGAGTACTCTTTAGCACGACCGGGGAAAGACGATGATGATTCTCATATTAATCTAGGAGTTGTATTCACTACTTTTGTATGCACTTACTGCTTGCAGATGGCTTCTATGTTTTAAGGTGTACTGAGAGTAAAGAGAACTGAACATTTGATATACATGTCATGTTATAGAGCACCAGATGACAGAGATGTACATCTAGTGGACTTTGATCTATATGTCATCTATATGTCATGTTACAGAGCTCCAGATAACAGAGAGATGTACCTCGAGTGACCAGTGTAAAGAAAACCTGACCTGTATGGAGGGAATGTGTCGCTGTATGACAACACAGTTTTACAACACGTCCACAGAGCTGTGTCAAGCAAGTAGGTCACCCTTCAGAAAAAACTTTAGTTGCGTCAAATAAAAAACATTTTATTTGAACGTTTACATCAAACGTTGTTCGTTTATTGTTCACAGAGGCTATCATATTTATAATGAGTTTATGGAAGCTAGCACGTTTATTAGTAAATATTAGTGATAGTTAGGCTTATCTTGTTTATCAATTTGCTACTGTTATTAAACATTGCCCAGCAGAATTAAGATCGAATACAAAAATAAACGCATCATATCTAATCACTGAAATCAATCGATCGATCTGTAGGGCGGGGAAAAGACTCGCTATGTACAGACACAGAACAGTGCCACCCGACATTGACCTGCGACCTTGACCTCTGTGTGTGTTTAGTCACTGAGTACTACGACAACAGCACGGACGTGTGTGTTACCAGTAAGTTCATGTGCTTGTGTTATCTACCAAGGCTGTGTAACGCATCGGATTTAATCACTAGGTTCATTTCTTATGAGAAACATTTTAATGTCATATTGTTATTATACATATAGCTACATACTCTGTACTACACATTTGATGCAGAAATCTTTTTCCAGTTTTTGAAAATTACTTGGAAATAGTGCTTTAATTTAGTTAATATGGCAAAATGCTTCTCAAGTGATGAAAGCTATCTTTTTTTTTAAATAATACAGATACATTTAATATTGACAAATTTCGACGAACAACTATTTGAAATATTTTTACAAACAAATGTTAAACTAAATATTTAAAATTGTATGAACAGGATTCGGGCTAGAAGACACCTGTACATCCAGCAGTCAATGCCAGACTAGCCTCACCTGCATCAGCGACAGGTGCAACTGTAAAAGGTCTGAGTACTACAACTACACTTCATCCACCTGTGTCGCAAGTATGGGAAGTTGCTTTCTGTTTACATAAACTAGAGCAAGATACGTATCGAAACATGTCATTTGAACCATTTGCTGGTCTGGTATTTAGATTAATGAAATGCATCTAAATGGTGCTATGGTTCATCTTATTAAAATATAATGTTATTTCGATAAAGGCATTTTTAGTATTGGGTTAATGAATGAAAAACGTATTAATTTCGTATAAAAAGCGAATCGATATGTTTAATGTAAGCAATCCCAAAACAATCTTTTCAGAGGAGGAGTCCTTCTGGCTGTTTACGTTTGGCTTCTATCACTACCTGGGTCTAGGTGTCACCCTGCTTTCATTAACCGTCATCATAACTTTGTGTGTATATTTCATCAACAAGAAAACTGTCTACATTGTGTAAGTACTCATCGTTAGATATTTGAATAACAAAACTAAAAGAAACAAACTAGATGCAAAGTATTCCAGCCCTAGAGTTGAATTGTTTGAATTATTTCCATGTGTTTTATGCTTAGTTTTATCCTGTGTAGTTCAATGATGCAGTTAGAACACGTTTTTAATGTTTATATACAATAAATCAATATATCACAATTTTTTCATAATGTTTAGATACAATAATAAAGTTTATCGCAATACTTTATCATGTTTTTGCTAAAGTTAATCACAATTTTTTCATAATTTTAAGATCAAATAATAAAGTTTATCACAATTTTTCATAATGTTTAGATACCATTATAAAGTATATCACCTATTTTTTCATAATGTTTAGCTACCATCATAAAGTATATACCAATTTTTTCATAACGTTAAGATCAAATAATATAGTTTATCACAATTTTTTTCATAATGTTTAGATACCATTATAAAGTTTATCACAATTTTTTCATAATGTTTAGATACAATTATAAAGTATATCACCTATGTTTTCATAATGTTTAGATACCATTATAAAGTACTAGCTGCATCCCGTGCTCCGCCACGGTAAATCTTTTTTAAATGTACCAACTTTGGAACAGAACAAAACTAACAAAAACATAACACAAACACAAACAAAACACAACCACAACACAACACAACCACAACACAACACAACAAAACAAACAAAAACATAACACAAACACAAACAAAACACAACCACAACACAACACAACCACAACACAACACAACAAAACAAACAAAAACATAACACAAACACAAACAAAACACAACCACAACACAACACAACCACAACACAACACAACAAAACAAACAAAAACATAACACAAACACAAACAAAACACAATCACCACACAACACAACCACAACCACAACACAACCACAACCGCAACGACAACACAACCACAACATAACCACAACACAACACAACCACAAACACAACACAACCACAACACAACCACAACATAACCACAACACAACACAACCACAACACAACCACAACACAACACAACCACAACACAACCACAATACAACCACAACACAACACAACCACAACACAACCACAACACAACCACAACCACAACACAACCACAACACAACCACAACACAACACAACCACAACACAACCACAACAATAGAATCACCACCGAACAACACGCTTTTCTTAGGCATCCGCGCCCAGAGAGAGCCTTTCCAGCATTCTCTATACTATAATTCTAAATTTTCACCATCTGTTAACACCGAAAAACAAAAACAAAAAAATAGTGATTTTGAGAGATCATAGTCTAATTAGAAAATAATGTAAATAATCTTAACATTTTTTCTATTTTACTTAACATATAATAATCAATGTGGAAGTAATTAAAAAAATTAACTTAATTTATTGAGAGTGAGTTGAATATTTAAAAAAAAACATTTTCCCATACGTCCGCGCTCAGAGAGAGCCTTTCCATTATTCTCAAAAAGTCTAATTTCACCATCTGTTTTCATAACACCGAAAAACAAAAGCAAAAAGATAGTGATTTTAGAGAAATCATAGACTAATTAGAAAAAAAAAAAATAATATAAATAATCTTAACATTTTTCTCTTTTAATTATGAACATTAACATATACTAATCAATGCGGTAGTAATACAAAAAAGATTAACTTAAATTATTGTTGAGATAAATATATTTTCAAATTACCTCCCTTGAAAAAAATTACCACAAAAAAAAGTTGAATTAATTAGTTTTTTCGACCTACTTTCATGGAAATGTATCCATTTTTTCTAGGAATATAAACGAAAATGATATTTGACATTGATCCTTTTAATATGTTTTAGCAATGTGCGTGTATTTAATATTTTCTTTAAGTTATGCAGAAGAGTAAACACAGTGGCAATTATAAAATAGCTCTATGCCGCTATATAAACAAACCCTACTCTAATACTTATAATAAGACACTGCGGTGCACTGAAAAGCACAGCATGGTGCGAATGTTTACTTTTATGGTTCCAAAATCTATAGCGATGACGGAAGGAAGGACTGACACACTACTTGCCCGCTTATATTATAGACTAGCTGCATCCCGTGCTCCGCCACGGTAAATCTTTATTAAATGTACCAACTTTGGAACAGAACAAAACTAACAAAAACATAACACAAACACAAACAAAACACAACCACAACACAACACAACCACAACACAACACAACAAAACAAACAAAAACATAACACAAACACAAACAAAACACAACCACAACACAACACAACCACAACACAACACAACAAAACAAACAAAAACATAACACAAACACAAACAAAACACGACCACAACACAACACAACCACAACACAATACAACAAAACAAACAAAAACATAACACAAACACAAACAAAACACAATCACCACACAACACAACCACAACCACAACACAACCACAACCGCAACGACAACACAACCACAACATAACCACAACACAACACAACCACAAACACAACACAACCACAACACAACCACAACATAACCACAACACAACACAACCACAACACAACCACAATACAACCACAACACAACACAACCACAATACAACCACAACACAACACAACCACAACACAACCACAACACAACCACAACCACAACACAACCACAACACAACCACAACACAACACAACCACAACACAACCACAACAATAGAATCACCACCGAACAACACGCTTTTCTTAGGCATCCGCGCCCAGAGAGAGCCTTTCCAGCATTCTCTATACTATAATTCTAAATTTTCACCATCTGTTAACACCGAAAAACAAAAACAAAAAAATAGTGATTTTGAGAGATCATAGTCTAATTAGAAAATAATGTAAATAATCTTAACATTTTTTCTATTTTACTTAACATATAATAATCAATGTGGAAGTAATTAAAAAAATTAACTTAATTTATTGAGAGTGAGTTGAATATTTAAAAAAAAACATTTTCCCATACGTCCGCGCTCAGAGAGAGCCTTTCCATTATTCTCAAAAAGTCTAATTTCACCATCTGTTTTCATAACACCGAAAAACAAAAGCAAAAAGATAGTGATTTTAGAGAAATCATAGACTAATTAGAAAAAAAAATAATATAAATAATCTTAACATTTTTCTCTTTTAATTATGAACATTAACATATACTAATCAATGCGGTAGTAATACAAAAAAGATTAACTTAAATTATTGTTGAGATAAATATATTTTCAAATTACCTCCCTTGAAAAAAATTACCACAAAAAAAAGTTGAATTAATTAGTTTTTTCGACCTACTTTCATGGAAATGTATCCATTTTTTCTAGGAATATAAACGAAAATAATATTTGACATTGATCCTTTTAATATGTTTTAGCAATGTGCGTGTATTTAATATTTTCTTTAAGTTATGCAGAAGAGTAAACACAGTGGCAATTATAAAATAGCTCTATGCCGCTATATAAACAAACCCTACTCTAATACTTATAATAAGACACTGCGGTGCACTGAAAAGCACAGCATGGTGCGAATGTTTACTTTTATGGTTCCAAAATCTATAGCGATGACGGAAGGAAGGACTGACACACTACTTGCCCGCTTATATTATAGATATAGATATCACCTATGTTTTCATAATGTTTAGATACAATTATAAAGTATATCACCTATGTTTTCATAATGTTTAGATACCATTATAAAGTATATACCAATTTTTTCATAACGTTAAGATTAAATAATATAGTTTATCACAATTTTTTCATAATGTTTAGATACCATTGTAAAGTATATCACCAATTTTATTTTTTCATAATGTTTAGATACCAATGTAAAGTATATCACAATTTGTTCATAATGTTTAGATACAATTATAAAGTATATCACAATTTTTTCCCACCATCAAGTGACGAAGATGCAGAGCTCAGCGACAATTGCTATAAAAATATGACGCTTCGCTCCCTACAAGTTGATGATGGGGATTATAAGGGCTACAACTCTTCTTGCCCAGAAAACTTAGACAAAAAGTCTTCCTCGTTTCAAGGTAATGTTAGCCTGCTTAATATATTACTAATTTTTACTTAGTCATCAAATACATAAGAATAAAAATATTTTAGTCATAATAATTATTACAGGTGACACATTGCATATGAATGTAACGAATGGTATATATATATATATATATATATATATATATATATATATATATATATATATATATATATATATATATATATATATATGTATATATGTATGTAATATATACACATATTGCAGATGTTATGAATTGCATGACGTCATTTTCCTTTGTAAATGGAGACCCACCTGTAAATGGAGACCCACCTGTGAATGGAGACTCATCTGTGAATGGTGACCCACCTGTAAATGGAGACTCCCTTGTAAATGGTGACCCACCTGTGAATAGAGACTCACCTGTAAATGGTGACCCACCTGTGAATAGAGACTCACCTGTGATTGGTGACTTACCTGTGATTGTAGACTCACCTATAAATTGGGACTTGCCTGTAAATTGGGACTTACCTGAAAGCGGATATTCAACGGTGAATAGGGAATCGCCTATCAATTTGGGCGCACCTGTTAATGGGGACTTAACTGTACATGGGGACCCACCTGTCAATGCAGACTTACTGTGAATGGGGACTTACCTTTAAATGGGGGCTCTCCTGTAAATGGGGACTTACCTATCAATTTAGATTTACCTATCAATGTAGACTTACCTATCAACGTAGACTTACCTGTGAAAGGGGGCTCACCTGTAAATAGGTACTTACCTATGAATGGAGAGGATCCAACTTTAAATGGGGACTTACCAGAAAATGGGGACTCACCGTTCAATATAGCTTTAAAAACCGAAGAGTTACCAGAGAAATAAAACATGCCTTTCTTTAACCTTCCCGCTTTAAAATTAATGTCCTCGTTGCATGATTGTTCTATTACTGCCCATTGCTGCGGTTTAAAGCTACACCAGCAGTAGTGGACGTAGTGGTGGATACTGTTTTTAATTTTTCAGTTATGTTATTTATACTAAATGTAATTTTTGTTTTAGTATTATTTTTAAAAAAACAATTGCACATGTACAACAAATTATTAATAACAATGTTCTAGACTTCATATGTGTGTGAAATTGTTCTAGAAATAATGTGTCATTATAATTGTCTAGAAAATAGAGTGTTAATAATAAATATGTAGACGCTTATTTAACGTACATATGTTAATTACATTGTTTCGTTTGCACCTTTCTCATGTATATAAAAAGAAATAAATTTACTTTCTGACACCTTTTTCAAAGCGTGGTGTTAAAGTTGATGTGGACAGAGTTGTCATCACTTGTAAGACTATTACACCATGAGTTACTCATGTAACACATTATTCTGATTATGTAATGTGAGACATACCTTTGAGTGGAATCACTAATAATTATAATAACATGTTATATGCAGGGGCGTAGCGAGGGGGGGGGAGGGGGGTGCGGACCGCACTGGGTGACACCATTTAGGGGGGTGACACCAAGGGAAAAAAATAGCAAAATATATAGAGAAAAACTTGAAGGGGGGGGGGTGCACATCGAAAGTTTGAAGGGGGGTGCATATCGAAAACTTGAGGGGGGGGGGGGTTGCAAAATCGAAAACTTGAGGGGGGGTGCAAATCGAAAACTTGAAAGTTTTTCCCCGGGTAGGGTCGCAACGCCTCTGGGGGGGGGGTGGCACCATTAAGTGCCGCACCGGGTGACACCCGACATCGCTACGCCACTGGTTATATGTATCGAAAATAGAATAAAGTCATGATACATGTTTATTTAATAGTTAGAATACATTCATGTTACATATACCATTAATAGTTAGAATAAATGCATGTTACATATATCATCAATAGAATAAATTCCTTTTATATCTGTCATTAATAGTCAGAATAAAGTCCTCTTATATATACCAATAATAGCTAGAATAAAGTCCTGTTTCATGTATCATTGAGTTAAAAGAAATATTTCAAGCAAAGCTAAGACATAATCTGGGAACTCTCACTTAACTAAAAAAATGTACAGGAAAACAATAAATAAAGTTTTAATTTTAATTTATACAGTCTCAAGCCAAACGTCACTCGATCAGCCCTCAAGTAAATTAACATTAGAACAGTCTTCAGTTTCCCAGGTTTTAAAAGTGCACAATCTGAATGGTAGAAAGAGATACCTCACCCCCCTCCCCCACTTTCCCTCACTCAACCGGACTGTGTGCCCACATCGCCCAGGGGTCAATTTTGTGTCATGGAAAGTTTTGGAATGATAGATCAGTATGAGTATTACAGAGACCCCTCTCCCACAGTCGTTTCTATTTCTGTCCATGGGTGGCTACAATGTGAACTTTTGACTTCGCAGCTAAGGATGGAGCACAGTTAATTAAGCAGTCAAGAGAAACCGAGTTTGAACACCTTATTTTAGTCTTGTTCTTAGGCCATTTAGTATTCTCCATTTAATTACTATATATACAATAGATGTTCATGTCTCAGTGTAATAACATAACTTCTCCGGTTGATTAAACTTTGTATCATTTTAATTCTCTGTAATCCCAAATTTATTTCAGCTCTACTTAAAAAACCCACCCACCCCACCTCTCTCAGCCCAGCACGCCGATGGAAAAACAAAATCCCTTGAATCATCATTTCATTACATATTTGCATTTTCAGGGGTTTTTTTTAAATTATTTTTCTTTTATATTTAGACGTTTTGTATTAGATCTATGTATAAGCAAACCATCTAAAATGAATGAAAGTAGGCTACAAGTAAGAAAGAAATATTACTATTGTAAATCTGTATCAGTCCTCGTAAGCCGATGATGAAAACTGTAATACTAAAGTGAAAATGCAAGACAAACTAATGATGTAAATAACATGTCTGGGACAAAAAGAAAAAAAAAGAAAAACAAAATTACATGTATCATTAAAAGTTAAATTAAGGTCATTACATGAAAGATATGAAAGACATGAAAGACGGACATGTTTACTGGATTTGTCAGGGTGTTATGATTTGGTGAACAAGTACCATGGCATCAGTTTTATGTTAGTTCTTCGTGCTGAAATCTGATCTAGAACTTTCCAACACTCCCCATCTGGAACTTTCCAACACTCCCCATCTGGAACTTTCCAACACTCCCCATCTGGAACTTTCCAACACTCACCCTCTGGAACTTTCCAACACTCACCATCTGGAACTTTCCAACACTCACCATCTGGAACTTTCCAACACCCACCATCTGGAACTTTCCAACACTCTCCATCTGGAACTTTCCAACACTATCCATCTGGAACTTTCCAACACTCACCCTCTGGAACTTTCCAACACTCACCCTCTGGAACTTTCCAACACTCACCCTCTGGAACTTTCCAACACTCACCATCTGGAACTTTCCAACACTCTCCATCTGGAACTTTCCAACACTATCCATCTGGAACTTTCCAACACTCACCCTCTGGAACTTTCCAACACTCACCCTCTGGAACTTTCCAACACTCACCATCTGGAACTTTCCAACATTCTCCATCTGGAACTTTCCAACACTCTCCATCTGGAACTTTCCAACACTCTCCATCTGGAACTTTCCAACACTATCCATCTGGAACTTTCCAACACTCACCCTCTGGAACTTTCCAACACTCACCCTCTGGAACTTTCCAACACTCACCATCTGGAACTTTCCAACGATCTGCGTGCGGTATACACTGAGTGTGTGGATCTCCCGCTGAATGACATTACATGCATGTTGAAAGTTGTTTGAACAAAATTTAGACTTGTTTCTCTTTTAAAACATTGTCACTTTCAATATTATAGTTGGGTCGGAGTGGTCGAGTCGGTAAAGCTCATGGTTGCTAAACCGATAAAACTCGAGTTCGAACCCTCGGGCAGATGAAGCTCGTTAGCTGGGGACAGCCACTCTTCTAGGAGAGACAACTCCAAAATTAAACAACTGCTGCCTTGTAGTTTGTTCTTGGTTGGACAAGGGCTATGGAAGCAAATCCAAAAAGAAAAGCAGGCTGAAATCGGAGTCAATGGCCTCAATGGCGCATAACCAGTTGACACGTAACGCTTAATTGTGTTGGAGGCGTGGTCGAGTTGGCAAAAAGCTCATGGTTGATAAATTCGAACAAAGTCTCGAGTTCAAACCCACTGGCAGATAAATCTCGATCCCCTTCAACACTAATAATTAAGAACGAAGAAGAAGAAGAATATTATAGTAAATCTATTACGCGCTAATTCTCTACACATGCCGAGGTCACAGAAACAAGTGAACTCTTCTTCACTTGCCCCAGAGACCGTCAGGTTTGAAAGGGAAACTTTACTTTTTTACTACGCGCTAATGGTAATAAAGATACGCGTTGAGAGAATGGAGCTTAATGATCGCATAGCTGAAGAATAAACAATTTTCATAAAAATTAAAACGGAAAATGGAAGATTAAAACAACCGTTGGCATGAATTATATAAGTGGGGAGGCTAAAACGTATAATTTGTAAGTGCCAGGTACGTGTGTTTGTGAGTATTGTTTCGTTTGCAGCTATATTTGTATTCATTCGTCATTCACTAATTATTGGCATCAATAGTGACTAACTCAATGATACGGTCATTGATTAAATGACTGACAAGATCATTGATAAAATAACTGATAAGATCATAGATTAAATAACTGATAAGATAATTGATTAAATCACTGACAAGATAATTGATTAAATGACTGATAAGATCATTGATTAAATGACTGATGCGTCTTCTGTCGTCAAGTGTTATTATATGACTAAGTCATATCTATGGGCACTGTGTCTTCCAGACTTTATTCTCGGGGGGTGGGGGGGGGGGGGGTTGGGGGGGGGGGGGGGGAGGAGGGCCTTCCATTTCATTCTGCGGGGGGGGGGGTGGGGGGGAATGAATATCACAGCAAGGGCCACATTTGTCCAAAATATTCGAAGAGTAAATGTATCCACTTGCTATCTGAATTGAATCGCCGGAAAGTGCTGTTTGTAACACTAAACATTCGTTTCCTAAAAGCCCAAATGCATTGTCTCTAACACGGGCACATCATGTCTGTCTGTCTGTCTGTCTGTCTGTCTGTCTGTCTGTCTGTCTGTCTGTCTGTCTGTCTGTCTGTCTGTCTGTCTGTCTGTCTGTCTGTCTGTCTGTCTGTCTGTCTGTCTGTCTGTCTGTCTGTCTGTCTGTCTGTCTGTCTGTCTGTCTGTCTGTCTGTCTGTCTGTCTGTCTGTCTGTCTGTCTGTCTGTCTGTCTGTCTGTCTGTCTGTCTGTCTGTCTGTCTGTCTGTCTGTCTGTCTGTCTGTCTGTCTGTCTGTCTGTCTGTCTGTCTGTCTGTCTGTCTGTCTGTCTGTCTGTCTGTCTGTCTGTCTGTCTGTCTGTCTGTCTGTCTGTCTGTCTGTCTGTCTGTCTGTCTGTCTGTCTGTCTGTCTGTCTGTCTGTCTGTCTGTCTGTCTGTCTGTCTGTCTGTCTGTCTGTCTGTCTGTCTGTCTGTCTGTCTGTCTGTCTGTCTGTCGGTCCGTCGGTCCGTCGGTCCGTCGGTCCGTCGGTCCGTCTGTCTGTCTGTCCGTCTGTCCGTCTGTCCGTCTGTCTATCTGTCCGTCTGTCCGTCTGTCCGTCTGTCCGTCTGTCCGTCTGTCCGTCTGTCCGTCTGTCCGTCTGTCCGTCTGTCCGTCTGTCCGTCTGTCCGTCTGTCCGTCTGTCCGTCTGTCCGTCTGTCCGTCTGTCCGTCTGTCCGTCTGTCCGTCTGTCCGTCTGTCCGTCTGTCCGTCTGTCCGTCTGTCTGTCTGTCTAGAAATAATGAGAAAAAAGCACGAAATTAAAAAAAACGCAGCTGTAATATTTTGTTAAAAACAAAAATAAGTGGAGTGTACATCTCAAGTAGACAGTTTTTAAAACAAATCTCTAGTTTGATCAAACTAGCTCTGTTAGTGCCAAGAGCTCTTAGCACCACTTGGGTAAATTGTACATCATTTGTTGGGCTTAAGTTATCAGATAGTGGCTGAGTGGTGTAGAGTATACGTTGGGTT